AGTACTAGCAACTTCTGGTATACCAAGTGCAAATTTTGGGGCAATTAAACAAATTGTCATACTAAACACAATTCTGCATCAAGTATGACATTTAGATCTTATCCAAGCAATTGACATACCGTGTTGCGCTTGGACATGGTTCTTGTTAGCTGTGCTGCAACCCCAAAATCACCTGTCAACATTGTCATACACTTGGGTCAGTGTGTTTTTACAAGTACAAGAAACTTATGAACTTCACATGCAAAACAAAAACTGAAAACAATAGTAAAGGGCACTTTATTATACTCCATTTCTATTGTCAAAATGAAATGTTGAAAAGAAAAAAAATTAAAGGGCAAGGAAAATCCTTGCCAACCTCTTTGATGATGTCATAATGCTATTAATGTTATGGAGAGTATGAAAAAGTATGATTATCATCAGATGTGAAAGATCAGCATGATTCAAGTGTTACAAAAACGTCCTTTTATTGTCCCTCCCTAGAGAGTACACCACATATAAGCAAATGATCATTGCACTCACCCAACTTCACATCTCCTTGTTCAGTTAACAGAATATTACCACCCTTTATATCTCTGTGGACCTTGAAAATGGAGTGCAAATAAGCAAGGCCCTACACGAAACAAATATTGTTCAAATCAACAGCATATGAAATAGACAAAAAATAATTTAGTTAACAATATATTTAATTGAATAACAAAGAATGAAAATGGCATCAGCACTACACAACTTTTGAGTTGGTTAAATTGCATCCAAATATTAAACCTGAGATAACATAAAGACTGAGGCATTTTATAGGCACTTCATTGAGCATTTCCTCATGACAAAACTTAACCATGCAAAATCAGGGGAGGGGAGACCCCCTTAATGAGGTGGAATTGTTTCATTTGGATCGAAATATCCATTCAAAGTTGATCAAACCTTCAATGCCTCCCTACAAATGTAGGCTATTTGGTACTCCTCCAAAGCATCCTCGGTAACATTCATCAAGTCTGCAACACTTCCACCACCACAGTACTCCATCACAATCTAAGAAGACGCAGAAAAACAGTCACCAGTCTCAGATTTTGCACTACCCAAATTACAAACCAAGAAACCAACAATAGCTCTATCATTTAGCAATTTCACCATTAACCAAAGCAAATGCTATCCATTACCCAAAGATACTCTTCTCCTTGGTAGCTCCCCAGGTACCGAACAACATTAGGGTGATTGCATTGCTGCAGCATCTCAATTTCACCACAAATTTCTTCATACCCCTCCTCCTAAAAACAAATCAAAATCAAACTCCGAACAAAGTAACCAATCAAATGCATAAGAAACCGAAGAAGATATAAACAGACCCCTTGAGACAAGGAAATGACTTTGATCGCCACGAGCTCCGAAGTCTTTATATCCCTAGCTTTATAAACCGCGCCATAAGACCCCTTCCCTGGCATTCCCAATACCACAAAAAATAAAAGGAAAGGAAAAAAACCGCTTTAAGCACAGTTCCATTCAGGAAGAAATGAAGGAGAAGCTGAAACACATTGAAGTTGAAGTACAAGAACCCACCAAGTTCATTGAGCAACTCGTACTTTACTGTGGGGTCTTCTCTGGTAACGCTATCGGGTATGGAACTCGACGACATTTTAGTGGTTTGGCGATACTCTTCGCCTTGCGAAGATCCACTGCCCCTCCTCTGCTTCCCAAACCCTAACTCCGACGAGGCCTGCATGCTCGCCACCGCCCTACTCATCGTCGAACCAGCGCCGCTGCTCGTCCTCCTCACCACGGTTCCACTTATCGACTCTCTCTCGCTCGACGACCTGACCACAAAAGTGGAGAACCCAGCGCCATCTCCGTCATCGTCGATGGAGCCTCGCTTGAAGTCACGTGACCCCCTCGTGGTCCGATTGCGATCGGGCTTGATGATCATAGTGCCGAAATCGCCATTTTCGTCCTCCTCGTCGTCGAAGTAATCGTTTGAGGCTCCGCCGCCGAAGTCTTTGGGAAGGTGTTTGAGGAGCGAAGGGAGTGAAGCGTCGTCGTCTTCGTCTTCGTCTTCGTCGTCTCGAGCATTGCCCTTGTAGACCATTGTGGCGTAGAGGTCGGGTTCCGGGTCGGAGCTCTTGGGCTTGCTCCGCCTCTGCCTTTGGTCTCGATCGGATTTGGAGTTGGAATCGTCATCTTCGTGGATGACAACGGTGGAGTAGAGTTCGGGTTTAGGTGGGATTTTTCTGGTCCGGCGGGTGTCGGGCATCGGATCCATTTCTGATTGGGTGTGACAGAGAGAGGGCGGGGAGTGTGTGCGTTAGCTGATGGAGAAGGCCATAGCTGGGATGGGAGTGGGTGCAACTCTCTCTGCCTTATTGGAACCAGCTGTTGAGCACGATGATACTGTTTTTTGGGATTTTGGGCTTTTAGGTTTTTGGGCTCACATCTATTAGTATTTGCGGTTTGAGCCCAATATGTTTTTTTGCTTCTTGATATAACAAAGCTCGTGTCTCTGCAACGGGCCTTTGTATTCGCAACCAGGAACTCAGTCGGTCGATCTGTATTCACCCAGCCATCCGGCCACTGCAACAAGGCATCCATAAAAATTACGAACTACCAACTTTGCCCGTTAATACACTTAGAACTTTTTCTTTTGCAAAGAAAAATTTTTTTATAAAAAACATGGGCAGCCATGCCAGGGAATATCCTTATCTAATAGCATCCACAATGAGAGGGTGTATAAGGGGGTTTATGTTAAATATACACCCTTTGTCGCCGGAATCATCTCCAATGGAAAGATGTAAATGGTTGTAAAAATACATTACAACCATGGATATATAAAATTAGATGTACATTTGCATCTTTTTTTACATCCTTTGTAGGCGGGACCCACAAGAGAAAAGGGAGAAGAGAATGATTGGAATTCAAAATGGAAGGCCTAGATTTCATGCAATTTGCATTGCACTTCCAATGGCCTAGATTTCTACACATATATTTTTATGTTAGTTTGTAGGTAAAATCATATGTTCTCCACATTTAAATTTTTTTAGGTCCATTTATTTGGAAAAATAAAATAAATCTAACACGCACAAAATTAATTTTAAAAAGTTAAAACATACAAAAAAAACACACACAAAAGAATTATCACAAACAAATCATATATGCATATTTGGATTTACATCGTTTCTCATTTGAGCAAAAAACGTATATACACCCCTAGAAGTGTAAATGGGATGTAAAAGTGGCTTTACATCCCCGAAAATACAACCCCCCCTCCCTCCCCCACCCCCCACCCCCCAACTGTGAATGCTTAATCTCCCTATAATTTTATTCTCCACATCCAGTCATTCTCCAAACATGGAAAAATTAAACTTTTACTCAATAAAAGTATGATAGATATAGATGGATTCGACCAGTTGATTAGGACAGTGTACGCTATAAAAAAACAAACATTATTCCACACACCTTTGTTATATACAATAAAGTTGGAGGAATGCAATTCCTACAGTAAAAATTCATACTTCACGCGAATGCGATCGTAGTTCGTATAGATTAATGATTTTTTACAACAAGAATCCACCCATCTGCACTAGGGTAAAGATTAATCACAATGTAGTTGAATTGTGATCCCATTATTTAGAGGGAGCTTAATAGATGATCAAGTGAATGGACTAGTAGTGTTGATACGATTACCGACTCGCTTGCACAATGACTATCTGTTGTTGATATGATCTGTTTTGATATTTAGATCTTTACTTCGATCCCCTTTGATATTTTTCAATATTTGCAATATTAATCTGTCGGGGGAAGGTAAGCTTTTGGCTTTCGGCACAAGGCGTCAAGGCGTCAGTGACCAAGGGGGGCCACTGCCTCATTTATGCCCCTTCCTAGATATATATGATGCTGCTGCAACCTATGAAATGCTCTCCATTCACAACAGCTTTTGCAATATATCGCTAGTCGGTTTGATCGTCAAGACTCAATTCTAGCCAACGCAGCAGCCTAGAGACAACCTAATTGTACCTTTCGTTTAATAAGAACAAATAGTTACTATCAAAGAACTTGTATGAAACGGGAATAATACTATTTAGCTATCCTCAACTAATCATTTACTTTGACATTAAAAAGTTTTGACATTAAAAAGTTATCACACATAGCATGTTGTGATTAGTTAATTAGCTAGAATAGCAAATAATATTATCCCCGTTTCTCCCATAAATGACGTCGAAGCAATATAAAAATGTCGCATAAGGGTAGAATCATTATTTAGAGTTTAAACTGTAGATGTATAGTCTCAAAACGGTTAACCAATAGTTGCCAAGGGCAAAGGTATACGTGAAAAGAGATGAGAATCAGTGAATCTATGAAAGCAAGCAAAAAAGGTTTGGCAGGGATATCCAAATCGCTGTTGCATCCCCTGTACACAAGCTGGCTTCACAACACACATATCTATCGCTTTTTGGCTCTGCTCCACCATATAGATGAAGATGATAATATTCTCTCTATCTTAATTCAAAAGCAATATGAATCTCAAGAATAGAGCCGACTCATATACTACCAAAACCAGCAGTGTCTGGAGGGTTTTACTTTTGCTATTCATTCATCAATCATTTCATGAAGATCTCAAGTAGGACTAATTGAAATCTGGTTGCATGCATGCAGGAAAAATTTAAATAGTTAACCAAATTTCAATCAAATGTCTTTCTGATAAATATACACACATCATTAATTAACTTTTATTTCACAACATAAGACGCCCATGCATTACATAAAACCAGACCAAAGTAACTTAATGCATCAGAAGCAGCTGCTACATTTTCTGCACATCAGGAAAAACCAAACTTGTGTGCGGTGCATGAGACCAGCTACATACTCAAAACTTGCACACCCGGGAGACCATTTACTCCAACTTGCACAACCTAAGCAACCTAATTTAAGTCTACTCTAACACCAGAACAGGGTCCACATTAATTTTACAATAAATAAACACACACAGCACCACCCCCAACATAAAATGAAAAGTATCATCAAACAAACCTAGGAACCGCCCTGCAAACCAGTGGGCTCTTCATCTCCATAGACAGTTTCAAACACTCGGACAAATCCACATCACTTTTCTCAGAAGGAACCCAATTGAAGTTCTGAAGCAACTGAGCCAGCCAGAGTTGAACAGAAGCCAATCCCAAGGCTCTTCCAGGGCACACCCTCCTCCCAGAACCAAAGGGAGCCAGCCTCAGGTCAGTGCCCACGATGCTCACTTCCTCTTCCATGAAACGCTCGGGCCTAAACAATTTTGGCTCAGACCAGACCTTTTCATCATGAGTTATTGCCCACATGTTCACCATGGCTGTGGTTCCTGCTGGGATGAAGTTTTCACCGACATAAACATCATGGATTGCAATGCGAGCCCATGAGAGCAGAGGCCCTGGTGGGTGCACCCTCAGACACTCTTTCACAATGGCTTGGAGGTAGGGCAGGTTAGGGACATCAGAGCCCAAAACAGGCCTTGAGGCGCCAACCGCAGAGTCGATTTCACTTTGGGCTTTGGCTTGTATTTCTGGGTGCAAAACCATTCTTGCAAGAACCCATTCTAGCAGAGTAGCTACTGTGTCAGTTCCTCGGAAGATCATCTCCTGTAAAATATGGAACAATTAAATTTTTTAGAATTACACTAAATTCACCAAAAATGAGAGTTCAAATATGAACAAATTAGTACCCAAAGCACGGCGATCATGTCAGAGTCACCGAGTTTGTGATCATTTTCCATAGCAAGCAAAACATCAACAAAATCCCCACTGCAGTCGGTGTCAAAGTTGTCACCTTTGACCTTCAGCCTATGCTCTTCAATGATTTTTCCGACAAAAGCATTCACTTTTGAGACCAAAATTCTGCACCTCTTCCTCACACCCTGCAAATCCAACCAACCCAGAAATGGAAAATGGTTGTTCCAGTTGAATAAACCAAGCAGCTCATACCCTTCCCTGACCAGCTTCTCAAGCTCATGCCCTTCGCCGCCTTCCCCAAACTCATAGCAGCGCCCAAACACAGTCATCATCACGTTGTTCAAAGACCCAAAATGAAGCACGTTTTTCATCTGAACCTCACCTTTCTCAACCATCAAACTCCTAATCTCCTCAGCCATTTTCAACCCCACTTCACGTCTAAAAACTTCAGAGCCAGCCATTCTCTTAGGACTAAACAAATGGGTTGCTGCTATCCTTCTCAAATTCCTCCAGTACTCTCCGTACGGCGCAAACCCCATTGCTCTGTAAAACAAAAGCTCGTAGGCCGTCTCATTTGCAGGCCTATTGGCAAAAGCAGAGCTGTTCAAAATTTCTTTAGCAGTCTCTGGCTGACTTGAGATGACAAACCGAGTTAGCCCCACGGAGAAAGACATCAAAGCTTCGGCCTTGAGGCTCTTAGCCATCTTAGCAAGCACTCGGTGACGCGTAGAACCAGTGAAAACAGTGAGTGACCCGATAAGCGGGTAACCGGGTGGACCCGGAATCGCTTTGAAAGCCCGGACCTTGCAAAAAGCCCAAGCAAGGCCACCGGGGAAGAGCCAGAAACCAAAGACAGCCATGAACAGAAACAAACAAGCAAATGCCTCAAAGCCCAGAACGGATGATTGAAGAACCATCCTGGGTATGAACAAGAGGTGGTATTCGAGTGACATTTTGGCGTCGCAGAGCTGGAATGCGAGACGCTTTGGGAGTTTGCAGAGAGGTGAAAACGGTTTTTCAGAGAGTGGGAGAGAGGAAGACGAAGAGTAAGCGCAGGGGACGAAGAGTGTGAAATGGGGGTCAGTTAAATAGAGGAAGTTAGTAGGTGAATTAACCGTGGTAAAAATATTGACTTAACTGGGGTTAAAAAAGCCCGGTCTCGAATCAATATCGATATCGTAGCTGTGTCCCATCCATCCGATCACGATACGCGAAAAGCCCACCATGGGCCCACCTCCTTTAAAAATGCAAAAAATTGTTCTGTAAAAGAGTAATTGTTGGGGCAACACATATATTGGGCGGGGATTGTGATTTTGAGGTGAAATCGGTAATCGATTTTGAGGTGAAATCAAATTGGATTGGTTTCACTTTAAAATTACATTCGAATTAATTATAATATAACTGTCACATTTCGAGATCAGTTTCATCGTAATATGATATTGTCCATTTTGAGTTCCTTTATTTGTCATTATGGTTTTGTTTTTAAGAACTCGCGAGCAACTTCTCAGTGAATCATTCATCTTGAGATTGTTGTAGCCTCAACTTGCTTAACTTCAGAGTTTCCATGACTCCAAAGCCAGTGAGCTCCCAAAAGGCCTCGTGCTAAATGGAGGTGGGCATGTACATATAAAACACATCACCCCCTCTCCGTTGTTCAATGTAGGATGTTTCAATAACAATTTGATTTGATTTGATTTTGACAATAATTACAAAGGAAACTAAACTAAACCAAACTAAACCAAATCAATTTAAGACGGTTTGGCTCGGCAGATTTGGTCCTATGTCCAATTCTCTTTTATTTTTCAATTTTTTCAACAATGTTAGCCCAATTACAACAACAACAAAATCACAACTTGCTACATACCTTTTTCATTTTCTAATGTATCAAACCATCCTAAAACTCAACATATCATAAAACTTCAAATTTTAATATTAATATAGCTATAATTCAACATTCATATCTAGTTATTTTCTAATTAGGGGATTACACATGTAAAATTAAATATAAATATATAAGTAGACAGTCCGATTCAGTTTACGACTGTTTACAAAAGTTCAAAACCAAACCAAGTCAAATAATATATGGTTCGGTTCGATTTTTAAATTGTTTAGTTTTTTCTTGATCAAAATCAAACCAAATAGGTAATTACATATTGGATCAGTCGATTTAATTAGTTCAATCGGATTGATGCATTTTGGTCTTCAAATTCGACAAATGATTGGCTTTCAAACTTGAAAAAATAGATCATGCAGTCGATTAACTAATTCCCTCTCGTACCATTGGCCATGTCATTATATTGATTACATTTTCTATCAAATTCAGGGGGAATTTTATCATTTTAAGTCCACCTCCCTAGTGGTTTTAAGAGCAATGGTATATGAACTTAAACTCAATTTTCATTTTGGTCATTCAACTCATATTGGCCCGGTAATCCCTCAACTTTGTTTCCAACTTGAATATAGGAGCAATGATAAATTTTATGTAGTTTTTACTTCCTACCAGCTTTCCCCCACAAAGTCGTTGCAATCGTCAACAAATTGTACCATCATTTTATCCCCTAGCACAATCATGATTTCAATAAGAAGCAGCAACCTGGTAAACTACCCCACTCACCCTAATGGCAAGCCACACTCCCCTTCTTATTACCATCCAATTTGATTTTCAAAAGAAATGAACAATTTATGGATAAAGTTTGAGGGTGAAGAAGGAGTGGCTAGGACACTGGGATTGGGAACTTCATTTCGTTCTTTAATAATGGTGACAGACCAATGATTAGAGAGGAAGTGAATGTGAGGGATCATCGAAACTAATTAATATTCGAGTTAGAGGACCAAAATGTAAATCGTGCATGAATTCAAATATCATTGCTCCTAAAAAGCATCGAACGTAAAAACTACTTAAAATGACAAAGTTGCCCTTAATTTTTATGTGAAAAGTAAGAGCACTTCCATTCATGGTGTCATGGCAAAGGGCATGGGCAATGAAGGGTAGAACTATTCACATAAGATACGAGGAGAGGATACAGAGTTTTTGTTTGGGAAGTGAAGAGCATGACTAGGTATTTATAGAAAAAAAATTCTGAATTGTTTAGTGTTTTTTGTTTTTATTTGTTTATTTAAATTAGTTGTTGGCATAAGCATGATATCAAGAAACCCATGCAACAACTCAGACAATTCTTGTTTTTGGACTGGCACAGGTAAATGAGGCCCCTTTTTGTCCGGACTGCCTTTCATTGATGTGGGGCTTGTTCTAAACCTAGGCTTCATTTTGCCCTAGCAAATGTGCATCGGTGGAAGTGCTCTTAATAGAATGTGAGATTTGGGCCAACAATACGAGATAAATTGAAGGTGAAGGACTGCAAGAGCCATTTTCGAATTTGAGTACCAAAATGTTAATCTAACATAAATTCATTGACTATTTGCTCCTAGTATCCAACGCGTCAAAGTTGTTAGGTTAAGGGCATTTGTTGTGTGCCTATGTGAGCTTAAAAAGTGAAGGATGAGGTGGGGTCATGGACACATATGAGGTGACACTTGACTTGATGTAAAAATATGGGACATGATCTTACGATCTTAACAGTGTGATTTTATTCGCGATTCTGTTGACGTTTGTTTTTACTTTATTTTCATTTCGCGGAGGGGGAATAGTTTTGGTGGTGTGAGGGGTGATGATGCGGACCAGTTTCCTCAGTTAACTTGTTGGGGAACTTTTTTTTTTCATCCAAAGGACAAGGCCACGAGGAATATGGTTTTGCAGTTTTCAAGGTGTTTGTTTGTAATAAATTCCTTGGATCTTGCTTGTAAAATGATTGACAACTCATGAGATTTGCTTTGGATAAACAACCAATATATATTGTCCAGTTTCACATAGTGCAGGACTAGTTTGGTTGAAGTGTAAATGGGATCCTTGGCCTTCCTTCCCTTTGGGGAATTGCTTAACCAAAACATTAAAGCAACGTTCGAAAACGAAAGAACGAGACCGTATAAAATAGCCAAGCCCTTCCTCAGGAGAAAGACTTCTAATGAAACGTGGAGAGCAGTACCACAGTGGTGGCCTTCCCCTTCTCCCTGCTCGACACCTATGTTTGTAACTCCGAGAAGTTTTTTTTCTCTCAATGTAACAGAAAAAATAAAGACTTCTATGAAACAAAAATAACACTATTTTGTTATTTTTGATCAATAATGTTATAATACGAATGATAACACTTTTATATAATATTATCATTATTAGCCGAAAATAGCTCTTTTTTATCCCGTTGCACCTAAATTTTTCTACCTCCTCAGCCTTTAGCTGGAAAAAGTTGATCATTTATGTGAGCTGCAGAATGTGTGTAAAAGAGAGGGAGACGTGGTTGTTTTGTTGAACAAGCAAAGGCTGTGGTCTGCAGAAAAAAAAGCATGCATGGCAGGCAAGGCAGTGGTGCACGCTGTACCAGCAACAGCAACAGCAGCAGTGATGCAATGTACGAACTAAATATATCGTCAATATACATAAGAGAGAGAGAGAGAGCAACAAAAGGCAGAGGTAGCTTTAGGGCCGAGGCAATCAGTCTGGTCATGGAGTGGTCAATAAGTAAAACGATTTTCTCTGATTTCTCTCTCTCTCTCTCTCTCTCTCTCTAGAGTGCAGGTACTAGTAAATAGTAATATATATATATATATGCACGTTAGTGTTTATAGTGCTGCCGCCCAGCTTTGCCAGTCTATAGCAACCAGCGGCTTTCAACTTGGACAGCTGTCCCTCCCCTGTTCTGTTCATATTCATTAGGGCTGGGTATGTCTGCATGTATATTTGGTCCATCTGGGGTCATTGATTGATTGCCATGAGATATGAATCCAAATAAGAAAAGAAGCGAGCAAGTGCCAAGTGGGTGGACTGGAGACATAGTCTCTTGCATCGATGGAATGAATCTTTATAAGATTCTTTGTTTTTCTCTGTATTATTCTTTTAAATTTTGATACGGGCAAATATCAAAGGAGAAGAAATCGCATTTAGGCCCTGTTTAGTTAATAGGAAATGAGACTTGGGGATGAAAAATCAATTACTTTTTCATATTTTGGTAAATTCATGCATGAAAAATCGTTGCCTAGTTCATGGGAAAGTAGGGGAAAAGTGAATCAATCTTCCCAACTCGGATTTTGTTTTCCCTTCTCATGGAAAAGTTTGGGGAAATGAACCAACATTAAATACACATTTTTCGTGACCATTTTGTCCATATTAACAATTTAAAATTACAATATATCATTAAATGCATTCTTTTTTTTATTTAATTTAATAAGGGTATAATTGAAAATTTATACAAATTTTGTTTTCCATTTCTACTTATCTAACATTACCAAACATGAGAAAAAAATCTTTCATTTTTCATCTCTTGGGAAATGATTTCCCTTCAAATTCATTATGTGAACCAAACGGAGCCTTAGAACTTCGGATGCAATATTAATACTCTTAAACAATCGAACTACAAACTTCTTACTTTTGTTTTAAAATTTTGGATTAAATTAAAATGAAAAAAAATAAAAACACCAATTGCATTGCATGCAGATTCTGTTTGTTTTATATTTCAACCATATATTTTGAGCCCCAAGTCTATATAGAAGCAGAGGTCAGTGACCCCAAGGACCAGCAAAACCTGCCCTGTGATAAATTTGTTGCAGGACAATAACATAAAAGCCTTCTTTTTGGATGAATTTCATTGGTCTGTCTGACTCTGGTACGTATAGAGTGGCACATACTTCTACATGCACCATAAAACCATTAAATATCTTTTCACCTACAAAACAAGATAGCCATAAATACAGTCACAAATTAATAACCAACTCTCCAAATAAATAAACAATGAAAAAACACATGGGACTAATTGTTTTGAAGAAGCCAGTGTGAGAAAGAAGAGGTCCATTTACCCGGCCCAACCCAAATCTCTTTCGTCTCTACCAAAACCATAACCGCCTTATTCCGCCCCCGAAGCCCAAAGGCGGAGAGATTCGAAGCGTTGCTCGTCTGCCAAACTGAGGGAGTCCGGTAACACAAATTTCTCCAAAATTTTGTTTGGTTAACGAGAAAATTAATGGAAGTTTGAATATTTTCGACGTTAGCATTAAATACCCAAATTTTCTTCCTCGAATTTCTTAGTAACCATTTGTTTTTCTTAAACTGGATTTTTTTTTGCGATCTTAGTAACCATCAGGGATCTCAAAGTTACAATCTTCGATACTTTTCTTACTTAGTTAGCTAATCTTTACTTAATTTCCGAATAGCAAGGTAATTAAACAGTCAATGCTTGACAAATTTGGGCGCTTCAGTCCCTTGTGTGAAGGTTATTTTGAATTACGTTTGTTTGAATGCTGTATTCATTAGTTTATGTCTTCTTGCTCAGAAACTGTTTGTGAAAATGTTTCATTGGCAATATCTCAATTTGTTTTGTGCGTGTGAAGGCTAAGTGTTGTGCTGCATTCTGTCGGTAGGGGTGAGGATTACAAGTAAAAGAGGAGAGTAGCCATGATAGGAAGTGCTCGTGTTCGGCTGAACCGGTGGCAGCAGGCAGCCGTTGCGGTTGGCTCAGCTGTGGGCGCATTGCTGGACCCAAGAAGAGCTGACCTCATAGCAGCTCTTGGAGAGACAACTGGGAAGCCTGCATTTGAAAGAGTTCTTGAAAGAATGAAGAAGAGCCCTGAAGGCAGGGTAAAGCCTCTTGTCTACCCTTTACCTTGTTATTTGGTTATTTATCAGTAGACAATGATCTAATCAAATGATAATACGTTCTACATAATAGTATATGGAAGTTGTTCAGAAAAACTTGCTCACATTATTCCTGTTGTTTCTGCCTAGCTATCTGCCTTGTGTTTTGTTAATGAGGGTGTTGGAGTTTTGGGTTACATGTTCTTTGAAAGTCTGCTTGTTTCGATAGAGAAGTGGCATGAACTGAGCATTTTGTGCCTTAGCAAGGGAAATGACCGTATTAGCTGCTAACGATACTTAAATAATTACTTATCAAGAAAATTGCTACTTGGATTATTGACGGTACCCATCCTGGCAAATTGAAGTTATATTTTAGCCTTTCGTGTAAAAATGGCAATATTGTTTTCCATGTTGCTGACTGCTGAGTATTGAGTGCTATTGCTCTTAGTTTATATTTGTATGAAAGCTAATGGAAACATGGAAAACCACTACCACTCATAATGCTTTCGTATGATTACTTGTAATGAGCTTTTAATTAAGCTGATTCGTCATATGTAACTCACTGTTGTGCTTTGTATTTACCAAATATCAAAATGTTATGGAATGAGTACTTCAAAAACATTTTATGTTTGTTGTGCAGATAAAAAATGAAGCAATCTTTGTTTCTTGCAAATTCTATTTTCTCAACAGCTTCTTCTTGTTATTCTAACACCAATGCATTTCTTTTTTCACAGACTGTACTGTTGGAGCAACCCCGTGTAATATCTGTAAAAGTGGGTCATGCGTGGGATCTACCAGAAAACACATTTGGTGCGGCCTATGCAAAGTTCATGGGGTCCAGGAACTTCTCCCCAGATGATCGACCGCCAGTGCGGTTCATGGAAACGGACGAGCTTGCATACGTGGCCATGAGGGCTCGCGAGGTGCACGACTTCTGGCACACCCTTTTTGGCCTTCCAACGAACTTGATGGGTGAATCGGCACTCAAGGTAATAGAGTTTGAGCAAATGTACCTTCCCATGTGCCTGATGTCCGTTATAGGGGGGTCGACAAGATTCAGTGAGAAGCAAAGAAAATTGTTCTTTCAACACTACTTTCCTTGGGCCATCCGAGCCGGAATGCAGTGCACAGATCTCATGTGTGTATATTATGAGCAGCACTTTCATGAGGACTTGGAGGATGTTCGGAGAAAATGGGGCATAATTCCTGCTCCGTCTGTTCCTAAACAAACCCGAGCACCGGCAGCTTCATCTGCTATGGGGGAGAAACTGTAGATTTCTGGAGCACATGAACTGGTTAACAGACTAAATTTTGTTTGAACACATCAAGAATTACCGTATGATTTCAATCTTCAGAAATTGAGTCTCGTGGGACAAGTAACTCATGTAAATTATGTCCAGTCCTTGCCAGCATGTCTAATCATTTCATAGTTGGATCTTATATTCCTGGAGAAACCAATTTGATTTATTGTATTGCGTCTGAAACTGGTTAGTCAAAATTGTATTTCCGTCACAAATAGTGGTTTTCTATTTTTCCTTCCTTGTTCTTATTTGTTTTATTATTTTATTTTTCTTTTATAACTTTTATAACTTCGGTGTGAGAACTGGGAACACGAGAGACATGACGGATCACATGAGCCTGGCAACGCAAAAGAAAGGCATGACATTCAAAAAGAAATTTTAAATTTTACCGATTATCACCACCACTCGAATTTCAAAACAACAAAAATGACCATATAAAGATGGCTAACAGAAATTAATCACTGGGAAAATAACAGAGAACAACAAATATGCACTAGGGAAATGCTGCTTTGTCCATGACAAGGAAATCTGTATCAGATGGTTTATGCATCTAAAAAAGAGCACTCTTGATTGAATGATCCCAACCACCACAACACCTATATTACATCACAGAATCCATCAAAGTCATAATTGTTTACATAAAGGATGGAAGGCATTGCCTCATCCAAAATAGAGGTTCCACAAAATTCAACAATGCGAAGGCATGTCTCAGTTGCCACCTGGTCCACCAAAGAGGTAATCCAGAGAAGAACCACCACCTGGGGCAGAGTGGACCTTAGTCGAGGGTCGATCCTGCACACAAGGAAAATCAATACCGGCATAATAAAACACATAGCAACAAAACACACAAATAAAGACATTAATTACAACTGTGTTTTGAGCTGTAAAGACAAGTTTACGGTGGCACAATAAGTGATCAAACACCGGAACAAGCCCTATCTGTGTCAGTACTTGGGTGAAGTAAAGTTCGGGAAGCACAATCAAATCAGGAACAGGTTCACTACTACCTGTGTGCTACCCTAGAGGGAGGGAGGTACAAGGGCAGGAAGGGGAGGAAGGACGGGTGAATCTTAAAATGTTAGATGGTGTAGATGAGAAATGCTTCTAGGTTGAAACTTGAACTTTTTTACAACACGGGGAAGAATGTTTTACCAAATTAGCAAAATGCTGAGATGTTTAAAGTTGTTAATCAAGACCCGCATTTTACATGTCATGTTCTATCCTATGAATGAAATTGAAAAACACAAAAGAAAACAGAGAGCAACATTTTGATCCAACATTTAATAATAAAAAAAGGTATGGACACTGCATGTAAAATAGTATAGACACGCAGGAAAACCATACCGTAATGAAGTTTCCAGTGTTCTGGCCATCTGCACGCATGTAGTTGTTTGAAGAAGTACTGTGGATGCCAGCAGGAATCTGCTTGGTGATATCTACTGGCTCAGGAGCAGGAGGAGGAGCAGTAGGTTTGGAAGCAGGCTCATTAGTCACAACCCTCCCTTCGTTTGGAATTGGTGCAGCTTGGGTGTTGTTTGCGGCCGGTTTTGGAGCCTCCCCACTCCCGAAAAGATAGCCCAAAGAACTCTGTCCCCCACCACTGCTAACTCCACGACCCATGTTCTCCAACTTCTTCTTAGATAACCCTACACTCTGTGTTACAAGTAGATAGTTAGAATAGATGTTTGGGAAAAAGAACAAACATTGCAAGATATTATACCATTGATTGCTACTGGATGCCTCAAACATATACCATCAGTCATATGCCAACAGGAAAATTTATCACAAGGACCTTATCACTTCAATGTCTTGAAATGCTTTGAAATCGAACAAGCTTATTGTTGATCCATTTTATAGAACAAAACATTTACAACAAATCCGGGAGAAAAGAAAAAAAAATCTCTTAGTATCCGCATGGTAGGCTTCTGCCTTCATCACAAAAAAGGCTCAAGCATGGGGCGTTTGGTAGGCCAAACCATTCCAGCTCTCTTTATTTTTGAAAGTTTACTTCACTATTTAATACCCAAATGATCATTTCACCTAAATTAGACACAAAGACGCATAATTTAGCAAAATGTACGCTCAAACCACAAACTTTTCCGTATAAAAAAGGGGAAAATAAACAGATCCACCATAAACTGCACAGCCAAGAAATCCCAAACCGAAGCAAGAGAAATGTCTCAATCACACAAAAGAACAAAGCAACATATATAGATCTACCAACAGAAATGAACCTCAACATGCTAATCAGTGCCGGGCCATAATTTCACCCACAAAATCAACTGAAGAAATATCAAATATTCGTTATAAAAAAAAACACAGAGAGAAGAACAAGAGAAAGCATCAAATCAAAAACAGTGAAATCGATTAAAGGTAAGGAATTGAAAGCACAACCCAGTGATTGAAACACTGAAACCTAAATCCGAGATAAGAGGCAGAGATCTAGGGTTAGAGATAGGGCTGGGTAGGGTACCTGGTTGTTGGGATCAGATCTGGAGGGAAAGCTGTGAAGCAGAGGGAGTGAAAAACACTGTAACCTCAGTACTGAGACAGCAAAAGCTACGCCAAATCTATGCGTTATATATATGAGTACATACACTCACTGTTTTTCTATTTTTATTTTATTTTTATTCTTAAAAATTGAGAGTTCATTTATACGATATTAAATACCAATTCACAAATTCAAGCTATCTACTATAAATAAAAAACTAAATCCCTCATAATTCAATAGTAAAAAAACCGTTTGTATCCAATGGAGATTTTTATTATAATTTTTCCTGAAATTTTGAATTTTGAAGCTTTTCATTTTCACCTTTTAAAATAAAGACGACATGGCGGGAGCAAAGGCAATAACCCAATTGTGAGTGGAAGTGGGGAAGTAAAGTATTTTACCGTCGTTGAAGTGATTAGTCTCCACTTCCTGCCTTCTGTTTACTAATAATTTTCACTTTCGTTTTATTATTATTATTTTATACAGAATATTAAACAATTTTAACATATATTATTGTTAGACTACTAACCGTTGATCACGCATTCAAGTACAAATTTATCTCTTTAAAGTTTTGATTGATACTGAAATTGTAAATTTAGCAAGAGAACATTTTTGCTCGTGTTTGAACATTTGGGAATTGTGAGTCTATATTTGAATTCTGAGTTTCAAGGATTTTTCGCCAATTTGCTTTCAAGTTTTTAATACTTTTATTATTATAAATAATTCGGTTCTAATTACTTTTGAGTTGCATATAGGGAGGGAAACTTTGGGGGGATTTGATATTCTATTTAAATAAGGAACTCAAAAACTTTGATTTTTCTTAAAAACAAGGAGTTCTTAAATCTATTTTTAAGATTCAAAAACATGTTTGGTACATAACTTGAAAATTGTTTTCAAATCTTAAACATTTGAGAACTCGTGGGTTGTAAGAAAAATTTGAAAAAACAGATATTTTTTGTTTTTAATACTTGGGGTGTTTTTTAAGTTGTTCTTGAGTTTGAGTTTTTAAAAATAGGGTTACCAAACAGATTTTCTTTGTTTTGGACTCAAATTCTGTTTTTGAGTTTAAAAAGTTAAATTCAAGTTGAATACCAAGCAGACCCTTAAGATTTTTATTTTATTTTAAAATTTTAAAAAATATAATACGAATAAGTTCAAATGTATTTAAACCAAACCACCACCAATAATAATGTGTTGGTATACAATACAATACAATACAATACAGGGTATTCTTTCCATTTTTGGGAGTATTTTAATCCTTAGCCAAGTAATTGGGATAAAATGTTATGCCAGTGAGGCATTTGATGTAACCCACCTGCTGGCACATTCCATTTGTAGGCCATGCATTATGTGTAAACCATAGTTACCAACTTACCATACAAGTAAATAGGTCAAAAAATTATCTGTTACTGATTGGGCAAATTTAAACCTAAGCCTGCCAAAACATAAAATTCATATGATGCTTCTAATCTACCCCTTGTTTTCCAGTAATTTACCATAAATATTTTTGCTGTTATAAATATTAGCTGGATGTACAGAAGTGAAGCACACAAAAATATATATACACTTTCTATATGCGGTGACAGGAAAATAAACCTCAATACACTGAACACTAGACTTATTATGTGCTGCATTGTTGAACATGCTATATATCTGGTGTAATGGCAGCTCAGCTCATGCCTAAATTGGAGGAATCTGGGATATCTCTACTAATATCCTGTGCAAAGCCTGTGGCCTTGAGAAGAAAGGTGCATGATCAGAGCCCTTAAGCCGGAAAACTTGTTCCGGGGGGTTTAATTCGATCATGGTCTCCTGTAGAGGAACGCTTATGGCATGATCTTCTTGAGTGACTATGAAGAACCGCCTGACAGAGCCGTAATTCGTGCCGGAAAGAGAGAGCTTCTCTGTCACTGGTGCAAAAGGGATTGGCCTCATGGACACTGATGCTAATGCAACATCCTGGTTTGGAAGGAACATAAATAAAAGCTTCAATATCAACACTGAATAAATTGTGACATTTTTTGAAAGCAGATCACGCCATGCTATAAGCTAAATATACCTTTGCAGGACTTTGATTGAACAATAAGTCTTCAGCCAATTTTTTGTCAAGATTAATGGCTGTTGGAGGTTGATCCTTCCCATTGGCATACAAGAAAATCTGAGCCCGTCGCATCAGATCATTCGAACCGGTCTGCATTAACACGATAAACTAGTTCAATTTATGAAGAAGAGGAACACAAAATACTTGAATGCAATTATAATTGTTGTGCTGTTTTCTCTTATCTATTTTTCCCCTACCTGTTGAGCAAACAGATTGAGAGTACTTTGCCCACTAGCTAACATTGCTGCAGAAATGAATATGGCTTTTGCAATTTTTGATGGAAACAACTCCATTACATATGAGATACATGTGCCACCAAAGTCATGTCCAACCAAAATTACCTGCATTTTAGAGGATAAAAAAAAAATTCCTGGTACATTAAAATTAATCATCTATCATATTCATATCACAGAGTCACAGAGTCACAGAGAGAGAGAGAGAGAGAGAGAGAGAGAGAGAGAGAGCAGAAACCTTCTTCCCATCCCCAAGTTTCTCAAGGATGTCAGTGAGTGGCTTTACATATTGTGCAAGACTTGTAATGCTGTTGGTATCAAAGGAATGAACTCCAGAACCAGTCAAGTCAACTGCATCAACTTTGAACCCACTTTCTTCTAAAAGTGTCATGCTTTTATACCAACACCAAGCACCAAAGCCACCTCCATGAACAAGGATGAAATGATTGGTTTCCAGACCATCAGTCTTTACATCCTATAAATGAAATAAACTTATATCAGTTCAAAATTGTAAAAGCAATTGAGCCAAAAAAAGACTCATTTTGTTTGAAAATATGAAAATATGCAGAGTCAAATGTTGTTGCTTTGTAGTTAAACTATGGCATGTCATATCTTAGGTAAAGATATTTGCAGCATCCAATGTGGAATTTTGGACGCAAGCTTGGAACTGATCAAACTTATTTAACCAATCCTTAGGAGCTGAAATATTCAACCGTCCAACAAAACCAAACATGATGCCAAAATGTAGTTTATTGCAAATGCAAAACTAGCACAAAACAAAACATGTCATGTAAGGTGCCACATAATGTAGTTTAAATAGTATAACCCAGTTAACGTACGGTTCTGTGCCTAGCTAAGCCGTACTGCAAATTGCTCCAAGAATCAGACCAAAATAAAAATAAAAATTGCTCCAAGAATTGGTCCACGGCGTTGACCAACTCAGTACACTGTTCCTAAAGGTTCATCCAAAGAGAGAGAGAGAGAGAGAGAGAGAGAGAGAGAGAGGAGACTTTAATTGCTAGTATTCCAATTCCCAGCCTTAAATTTGGATCATATGATTCTAGATATGAGTGTAGATTGTTATAAACAGAGAAAATAATTTACCAGTCATTAGTTTCCCATAATCCTTATATGAATGAGAATGAAATAACTTTGGATGAGGCTAAGTGCATATGCAAACATGTTCAAACCTGCTTATCAACAAGCTCTAGGGGCTGAAAGCTGACAGCATCCGAACGCAAACGTTGCCTAGAGCTGGAGCTTTTTGTAAAGCTCTGATTCTGTTGGCCAGGAGAGGGATAAACCACGGAAGTGGATCGGTTAAGCGGTATCGATGAAGCGTTCTTCTGGTGGTTCTGGAACAGCAGAACAGCCTCTATTGCTTGCTGTTGAAGCAGCAAATCATCCGCAAGCATCTCTTTCTTCTTGCTTGAACCGTTTGATCTTCTAGTGCTAGCAATGGAGGACAAGAAAGGTGAAGAGTATGGTGAACGTTTGGAGGGCTCTCTGTTGAAGTTGTTGTTGTTGGGTTTCTTGTGTGATGGTGAGAAACATACCAATGAGTTCCCCATTTTCTTGCTTTCAGAGAATGAGAGAGAGCCTCAGAGTCAGAATATGAAGCATTATTAATGTGATGGGGAATGCTAATGTAGTAGATAGAGGACACACAAAGTTTGACCAAGTTGTTGTTGTTGTAGCTAGTATTAAAAAACTAGCTACAACAAGTTTAATGTGGAAAACGAGAGAGAGAAGAAAAAGTTACAAGAGGGTTTGTGTTTCAAATATACAAATGGAACTTTTGTGTAATTTATTAAAGTCAAAGAAAAGCGCTTTGAAATCAGAGGATTGATTGGAGTTGCGCTAATTCAATTCCCTTGTTAAAAAGCAAAACAGAAGAATTTGTTCTTTTTGTTTTATTCTTCTTTCTAGCCATTTATTTTGACCAAATGGTCAGCTTCCAAAGGTCCCATAGCCAGCGGGGCCAATCACGTTGTTTACTACGATTTGTTAGATTAGGAGCGTTCAGAATGGTTTGTACAGGTTTTATTTTGATACACACCCATATTAGGAAGGGGGGAATCGAATCTAGGACTTAGGATGCAACGGTAAATGCTCTTAACTATTTGGGCAACCAACAAGCCCCTTGCATGGTTTGTACAAGTTAGAGGAAGCCCCTTCATATTTGCTGTGGTTTCTCAGATTTCTCAAATCGTGACAGTTGAACGAAGACTTTTCTTTTATTTATTGTTGTTTCCGGGCCTGTGTTTGCTTGACTTTTCAAATTTCTTTGTTTTTGGATTCTTCCAACTCAAGTCAAACTTCCATGTTGGATACTCGAAAGTTCAGACCAAACTCACATGATTGACCCCAAATTCAAAAATCTCTAGCACTTACTAAACATATAAGATAACAGAGTTCTATTAAAGAAAAGATGCATAACAAAGGATAAATGTATTTGGATTTATCAGTGTACATATTCCTCCTGACTTGGTACAAGGCTATATCATTACCCCATCTATATCATCAACAGTTAATTGTATTCTCACTGAAACAATGTAGAAATCCCAAAGAAAATAACCCGCATCCAACTTGGATTTAGTTAGTTTAGATGCCTAGCTGTAACAGCTTGTTTTCTAAACACAAGCAACAGTGCTTCACTGTCGTATTGCAATCGTGAAGCCATTACAGGATTTTCTTCTTCCAAATGCTCCTAGTTGTGAATATCAATGGCCGGACACGATTAAAAAGCTTTTCAAAAATCTTCCAGTTCATGCAGGCAACAGACGGACCCTCAAACACATCATCGTCACCAATGTCCATATTTCGAGTAACTCACATCATCAAGTCGCTTCTCTCAACATTAAACAGTTATGCCAGCATCAGACATCAAGGTCACCAGTCCTTTAACCACTCTCCTTGTTGCATGTCAGGATCAGGCATCGAAATAGGAGAACGACAAGAGCTTTCAAACAAGTTATATGACATTACATCCAAGGTGGAAAGTATCTTGTTCATACCTGCATGTAATTAATATGGTACTTGTAAGAACTTAGGGCTTGTTTGGTACGGAGGACTAGACTAGACTAGCAAAATGCCTACATTTCATGTGCATTGAAGGCATAATATGGATATGTTGCCTAACTTGGAGGAAGAATGGGGACTATATATAAAAGGTTGATGACTAAAACTTATCCCACTAATCCAGTTGAAAATGTTGGAATTATGAGGGATAAGTTTTAGTCATCAACCTCTTATGAATAGTCCTTCATTCTCCAAGTTAGACAACAAGGTCCATATTATGCCTTGATTGCACATGAAATGTTGGCATTTTGCTAGTCTAGTCTAGTCCAGTCTAGTCCTCCCTAACAAACAAGGCCTTAAGGTTATATACCACCTATATCATCTATAGCCAATAGAAGAGAACAAGATTAGAACTGGAGGATTACAGATAATGAATCCAACAATGGCATTCCCAAATAATCCAATAACCATACCTCTCCGCACTGCATTCAATTCTGCACGGCATAGAATTGAGGAGCAAGCTCAGTTAACCACAAATAATCGATCCTAGTTGTGTTGCGGATGTATTTACGATTAGTTTCGACTAGTTCATTGAAAATTAGGCACTCTGGTTTGTTCTTGAAAAACACGGAAGACGGGTGGATCGAAACTATCTCACCGTTTGCTAAAGCCCTGTCATTTGGTTCGGTAAATGTGAGAGGTCGAGCATGACAAAAAGAGAGAATTAAATAATGCACATAAAAAGGGTACAAGTTTTGGAACCTAAAGAAACCAGCCAAAAGAATTTCAAAACATGTCAAGGTAAGATTAAGACCTGTATGATCCCTCAGGCTGCTTTAAAGCTGCATTGAGGAAGAAAGAAGCTGCAAGGCATCTGCAAAACTGAAGCACGTCGTCACCACAAGAGGCAACACGAAGACCCAATTGTTCAACATTTCGTCGAATTTGGCTGCAAAAAAACACTTACTAAATTTAGAGAAGCTAATTTATTGGATCTACACCATTAATAGACGCACTGATCTTCCATAAGGGTGGCAAAAAAACCTAGTGCGACTGTGTGAGACCAGCTGAAACATGTCCATAGCTCAACAAGGAATTGAAATAGCTAACCTGTGAATGTCACGAGCATGCCTCAGGGAGCGACTATCAATGAAATTTTCCTTGCACCATTTTCGGAAAGCTTTTTCACGCTTCTCTTTACTAAGACCTGATCTCTTTTCCAAGAACTCATTGGATGCTCTATATACATTAACCAAAGTGAGATGGTCTCCCTCTGGACTTGCAAAGGATTTCTTTGTAGTTCTCGACTGCCAACAGGAAGAAATATATAGCGCTTTTAAGTTAAAGTAATACTGTGAGATCGTAAAAAGAGATATTAGTATAGTTTTATTCATATTAAAGCAACAGGATTAAGACCAAGAGTTCACCATATTGTGAGATCATAATGGAAATGGAGAATGAAAACTCAAGAATGGAATGTTAATCCACCATTGCGTTACACCATTCACCAAATGACCCCCCATAATATCCATGCTTGACTTTTCTACTTCTACTCATTCAATCAAACTGCTTACCATCACCCTTATGCAAAAAAGATATTTTGACAAACAACTCATCAACTCACTTCTATTATACTTTCCATCTACATAACCTATGAGAAATTAACAAGGACAAATATGTAATGAATCATACACAAGTACCTCCTCTTTTTTGTCACGGGGAGTATAAAATATAGATTCTACTGAGAGCATTGCAACAGTTATCAGCATCTCTTCCAGGCAATTGAATTCACTTGCTAGGATTAGAGCTTTTGAATAAATTGGGTCTAAGGGAAGGCATGCCATTTGGCGTCCAACGGGATTTGATAATTTACAGTCATCTGTTAAAGCACCCAGCAGGAACAATTGCTCTAGTGACTTGACAATAGCCGACCTGCTCAAATGTGTAATAGATTCATGTATGATAAATTTCTTTGATAGATAATAAATCAATATTTATTAGAAGAACTAAACTAACTGCTTGACAAAAATAAATTAAAGCAGCCATTTGCTTTCTCATCATTAAAAAGAAACAAAAGACAAAACCTATCCAAAATCTTACCTTGTAGGCTTTTCTATGAAGTCAAATCCACTGATATCATCAACACCCAGAGCCTTAAGTTGCAAAATGATATTAGAGAGGTTGCACCGCTTGATCTCTGGCTTTGTTGAATCCTCAAATTTCCCAAATTGATCCTCTTGGTAGAGGCGGAAGCATTTCCCTGGTCCTTCTCGCCCTGCACGCCCACTGCACAATAAAATTATGTATCACAAAAAGTTATCTGTTCTTAAGCATCAGTTCAAGTATCAGGGTCATCAACTAAACGATATGATACTACACTGTTTAAAAGTGTTCACAACAGTGAGCTTCCAAATAATTCTAACAGTTTGTATAACAGAAACGTAAATTGAATAACTTTATTATCCTCTAAAATGATATTTGTATTTAAAGAATTCTTTGGATCCCCCAAAAATGGCCAGCCATGCCTACCTCCTTTGAAGAGCTTGTGCTTTTGAAATTGGAACAACAACCAAAGATTCCAATCCTTTGTTCGGGTCATAGTAACGTGCTTTTACTAACCCAGGATCTATAACGTACTTTATTCCAGATATTGTCACGGATGTCTCAGCAATATTCGTTGCCAATATTACCTAACAGAACAATGTAACACGATTAGATAGAAAGAAAAGAATACACAGATGAATATATATCATAAACCTATTTCCAATAATATGTATTGCTCTACACTTAACAATTTGTTATTCAACAATCACAATACATCTTCACGCTTCCTATTCATATAGGATAAATGTCTAAGCTAATGAACATCATTAAGTTACCTTACGAAATCCATGAGGGGCCGGTGCAAAAACTCGCATTTGCTGTTCTGAAGGAAGAGATGAGAATATAGAAACAGCCACTAGTTTTTTACTGTTTTCTGGTAACTGTTTAAGTCTTTCTTTGACAAGTCTTTCTACAGATTCGATTTCTTCTTGACCCGTCAAGAATACAAGTATATCACCAGGGCCCTCCTCCAGATGAATCTAATAACACATACATACATATATATATAAGAACATGTATGTTATTTAGGAATCACCATTTAAGGTCTATTTTCTGCTTAAAGTGCTCAAAATAGATTCATAAGGTAAACTGAGCATATTCTGCGCATGCCACAAGCTAAAGGGGCTATCATCCATAGCAAAAGCAAATGAACTCTACTCACTCATAGAAACTCAAACAGACTTGCAACTTGCAAGAAAAATTTTGCTTGACACAAATACTGACAAAGAGCACTAAATACCTGAAATATGGTGGCTAACGAAGCATCTAGATAATCATTTTCAACATGAAGAGTATAAAATATATCCACAGGAAACTGCCGCCCTTGGATGTGAACAGCTCTTGCACCACCGAAGTACTCAGAGAAGATTCGTGCATCCAAGCTGGCAGACATGATAATTAACTTCAACGGGGTCCGTCCTTGGTATTGCTTGAGAAAATTGAGGCCCTGAGCACCGTTTTCTTTCAATTGTATGTCATTATTTGATTTCTTGTTTTTAGTATTTTGGAGGTTATTGAGGGATTTTGACCTTGCATCTTGTACACTTTTTAGCAAGCCTAGCAACACATCAGTGTGGACAGTTCTCTCATGAGCTTCATCAACAATTATGACTGAATACCTAGAGAGATGTGGATCCAACAGTGCTTCCCTGAAAGTGCACCAACCATTACATAAGTTCAGACCTGAGAAGAGAGAGACTGGAGGACATTCGTGAATTATGAAAAAGCTTGATATGCACACATATCAAGTATCAACCACATTAATTTACTCTAGACGGACTCCAAAATGGTTTCACACACCAACCAGAAAGCAAATTTCTTGCTGAGAACCGTCTCCACATATGCCATAATTGATTGTAAAGTATGTTCATGAAGCTTCTAGATGAAAAATGCTAGAGAGCAAACATAACGCCTAACAAAGTTATAAATAGGTTTTACCTCAGTAGCAATCCATCTGTCATGTACTTGATCCTTGTTGAACTAGAGGTCATGTCCTCAAATCTGATGGAGTAACCAACCTTTTCACCCAAATTTACGCCACATTCCTCAGCAACCCGTTTTGCCACAGTCACGGCAGCCACACGCCTAGGTTGAGTTATCCCAATGAGTTTCCCATCCCCGCAAAACCCAGCATTGTACAAAAACTGAGGTAATTCTAGGGAAAAAAAAATTACCATAGGGAAAACAACATCAAGTTGCAAGCTCAGAACTTCAAAATACTTTGCACAAAATACCTAACATGCTACAAAAATAAAAGGAAAAAGAAAAAAAGAGCATACGTGTTGTTTTTCCGCTTCCAGTTTCACCAACAATAATCAAAGTATCGTGCTTCTGAACCTCCTCAACCAGTCGTTTATCCACTGGTAATTAAACAACACCAGTATTACATTCCTAAAATAAACAAAAAACGTAAACAGAACGATTATTTAAAGCAAGTAGTCTCAGTACCAGAAGCGATTGGAAGAGATTTCCTGTGCTGCGCAAGCGTTTGCCTCCTAAAACAAAATCGCACATTTTTAGCATGTCCTGAGTTTCTGAGCAGCCAAACAGAAAGTAAGAAGCTAAAAGGTGCTTACTTGGAAAAGGCATCGAGCTTGCGATTACCATCAGACAAGTTTCCTTTCGGCCTTTTGGTAGAGCTGTTCAGCCGTCCTTGACCTTGAGCCATTGAAGCTCAGAGAGAGCTGTGGAAAATCGGTGAAGTTGCAGAACCGAATAAGAAAGAAAGAAGAGGGCTGGGGTTTTACTGTAACCGTTAATCTTTTGGTCGAAGGGTTTTACCGGTTTAGTAACGTGAAGTGTAAAATTTTATTTTAGTGGGCTGGGATGGCCCAATAATAATCAATTTATGGGCTTTTAAATACATTCGAGAATTCCATCAGTACATCCACAGCTGCTAAAAATATTTCTAAAGTTTATTACTTGGAGTCGATCAAATTAAATTAATTTTGAGCATCTATAATGGGCTTTCTAAACTACATCTATAGCTAAAATTTAGGGAGGAATTGAAAAAACTCACCTCCAAGTTCCAACCATGCTCCTTATTCAGCTCGTAAAATAGGGAGACCTCTAGGAGCTCTTAAATGTGAGGAGAGAGAAAGAACTCCTAGTGACCCCCTATAATTAAATGTTTCTTTATTTAATATTATTTTAAGCATTTATTTAAAGTCAACTATTTTTTATTGTTGCTTTTGTGTCTACACTTTATTCAAAAATAGAATTAAAAAACATTAAAAACATTTATAACTCTCTAAACTAGGGAGTATGTTGGACTTGAAATTTTATAAAGAGCTCCTAAAATAGTTTTCTAGTGTTTTTAGTTTAATTTTAACTAAAAAATAGAAATCATGATTGTGGTTCCTCTTGGACGGTAGGTTGCATTGAAAAAAATGATATGGTCATAAACAGCTAAGGTATGGAGAACATATCGTCCCAAAAGTACTGTTTTCATCACGAAATATTTATTTCACAGACAATGCTATGAAACAAATTATGAAGATTCATTTGAAAAGATTATTTGGTCGTTCTCATTGACCTTTTATCTCACCCAAAAATTGTCTTTCAGAAATTGGGCTTCTCTAAAAAGGATCCTGTCAGTCGGGAATAATTATAATTAAACACCAAAACCTTTTTTCATAACAGATTGGCAATCATCGAACATTGATATTGCAAGGTACATATAGAATTACAAAATAAACCTAACTCACCTAAAAAAATATATATATATATATAAAATATTCAGTTCATCAGAGCCTTCTTTTTGGGGGTAGGAAACAAATGGAGACAATATACTCAAAAGCTAAGAAAACTAAAGCTGAGGACAGCAGTACCAAATAACCAATGATGTACATAGCAGTTAATTAAACCTAACTCTTTCAGGTAGTAGCTACTGGCTAGTATATGCTGGGCTGGGTTTGTTTTGCATTTGCGCATAAGAAGTCCTTCTGCACTTGTCATGTTCTGCAGTTGATTCTAATGAGTACTAAATGCCAAATATGAATCCACGTCGGCTTTGGTTAATGCCGGCTTTAAAGAATCTTTTGCAGTCTGGAAATGGCGATGGCACACAACTGTGGCAGATATGTCTTCCCTCAGAGCCACTATTCCAGCTTCCCTACATAGACCCTCCAGCTCGGCTCCTGTGAATAGCTCAGTATCTTTTGCTATTTGTTTGAGATCAACATCATCTCCTACGCTCATGTTACGAGTATGTACCTGAAGTATCTCATATCGACCTTCTAAATCTGGTGGTTGTACAAAGAGCGCCTAGAATTTCCAAAACATAACAGAGTTAACTTATCTCTTTGACACCATGCCAAATTTTGTTTTCTAGAATTTTGTCTCACACCTCGACAACCAGACCATGAGAAAGGACCTCAACCACAACAAGAATGAAAAGAAAAAAATTGGAAAAAATTAAGTGACACATAACATGGCATAGTCACATGATAGAACAAACTTCTTACCAAATCAAAGCGTCCTGGGCGAACTAATGCAACATCAATCGCATGAGGACGATTCGTAGCAGCCAAAACAAAGACTCCCTGAAAACCAAAGGAGAGTACAATTTAAAGCCACAGGAAATGAGAACTAATGCAGCATGGATATGTATCACAAATTGATTTTAAAATTATTGCAGAAGTAAAAGAATTTAAAGGGATATAGTGCTTACCTTGGCCTCTTCTAAACCATCCATTTCAGTCAGCAAAGTAGATAGAAGCCTTTCTCCAACGGTACTGCTGTTGCTTGAACTCCCACCTCTGCCGATTTAAGTTAAACAAAAAAGTTATGAGACTTGTATGTAAGTAGAAGCTCATAATGGAATTCTCATTAGATTAAGTGTACTTGTTCCAATACACAAAATAACAAATCATCAATGTGCAGATTAATCCTATAACTGCAACATACTAAGTTACTAACCTTTTGGCACCAACAACATCCGCCTCATCAAAGAGTATTATGCTGGGTGCTGCAAGGCGAGCTCTCCGAAAGGTATTGCGCAGCAAAGCTTCACCCTCTCCAACATACATTGAAAACAATTCTGCACCACTGATTCAAAGTTTATGAATTCAGGCATGCAACTCTTCTACTTTGTCAAATAGACTAATTATAATTGTAAAAGTTTCAATGGCCTTTACGGTGAGTAGCTTCTTTCTAAATAAGTAGATCAAACTTTTCAATCTAAGAAAGAAGTTCAAACCTCAAAGAAAAAAAAGAAGCTTGGGCAGCATGTGCAGCAGCTTTAGCAAGGGTGGTTTTTGAACATCCTGGAGGACCATAGAGAAGAATTCCACGCATGGGTGATATTCCCAGCCTTGTAAACGCTGAAGGATGTTTAATAGGCCACTCAACGGCTTGCTGGAGCTTTTTCTGTCAATGAGAAGGTGAGGTATAATTAGTATTGTGAGAGTTCAGACTAAGATACACACAAAACTTTATGCACCTTCAAATCTTTTAATCCTCCTATATCTTCCCAAGTCACTTTGGGGATTTCCACCGTAACACCTCTTGTTATACTTGGGCTAACCACAGACCTTGCATGCTTCCAGTCTTCTGTTGTTAAGCTAAACACACCAGCATCTTTATTTGCACCTAAGTTTCTTTTAATTGCAGGCATAGCAGCCTCACGACATAAAGCTTCCAGGTCAGCCCCAACAAATCCATTGCAAGATGCAGCTATGGCTTGGAGGTCAACGTTGGAATCCAAATGAAGCTTTCTTGTGTAGAGCTGAGCAATCATAAGCATAGTTATAAGTGTATCTTACACTCATATTTCTTGAATTTCTATTAAACTATCTGAACAACAACTGGATGTTTAAAAGGAATAATGTGTGGCAATTTGAGCAATATGATAAGTTGATCCACGTTACAAAAAAAAGAAAAAGTAATCCCGAATTCTCGCTTAAAAAAATATTTTAAGCATCACTATCACCTTGAGAATTTGAATGCGTTCTTCTTCAGTAGGTGGAGTAACTTCAATTTCAACATCAAAACGCCCAAATCTTCTTAGTGCTGGATCGATTGCTTCAGCTCTTTGTACGTAACAAATATTAATATGGAATTATATACAAGAACTAAATGAATGGTCTTAAGTAACAAAACCTACATATGTGCCAAATAGAATATTAATAACAATGAGAAAGCCATAAGCTCTTCTGCAAATGAGCTAACTGGCAATGAGATGAACATAATGCATAAAACTTTACGAGGACAGAGTATCAGAAAGTTCAAAACCATGACCAAAATAACAGATCATAGCACTCATCAAACAATCGAATTTTGTAGAAATGCCTACACATTATCAACTGGTTAATAACCAGATAAAATCACATCATATATTCTAGGAGATGAAAAAAAAATTACCTGTTAGTGGATGCAACAACAACAACTTGTGGTATGGATGCCGAGGACATCTTGTAGTCCATCAGCGTAAGGAGTTGAGAAGCTATGCGAACATCTTGCTCTCTTCTGCAATTGAAACATAACTTAAACATATTAACTGGGGAATGCCCAAAGATTGGAGAAAACTGAAGGGAAAATAGCCAGCATAAACCAGTAGCTTTTTTTTTTGGGTGTAAATTTATAAAGTTAAAAGTTCAGATTTTTAAGGTAGGATACATTAGAGTTCTCTGTAGCATCATTGGTTTTTACCTAGAATCACGGCGAGGACAGAGTGCATCTATTTCATCTATAAAGATAACTGATGGCTTGCCTGACGATTTATGCAATGAAGCCTGCGAGAAAGCCTCCCGTAAAAATTTCTCACTTTCTCCAGCATGTGCTTTGTGAACAGAATGTGGACTGTACAGAAAATACCATAAAAACAAGACAGAGCTTAATAAAAGAAATCAAAACCATGAGAACATAATATGATCATAACTTATCCAAGTAAAGAGCAACACTGTAAAAGACATCATTTCATTTGAACCCAAAGATCAATACAGAGATTAAAGAATAACAGGGTACCTGATCTCAATTAAATGTGCACCACATTCCTTAACCACTGCTCGTACCAAGCTTGTCTAACATGAAAAAGAAAAGAAATTTATACAAATTCAAACTTTGCAACCAATGTTGCAACTTTGGCAATGAGCAAACAAATAAAGAAAGCCTTAGAGGAAGTAATGATTCAATACCTTTCCGGTGCCCGGTGGACCGTAGAGAAGCAAACCTCGACGCCACTGAATGAAAACCCAGAAACCAGTTAATCAGATACAAGAGCAAAGGTATGAAAATAAAGAGAAAGTGAGTTTTTGTTATGTGTTACTTTGAGACCGAGAGTTTGGCCTTCACGCGGATAGAGAAGAGGGTAGATGATGAGTTCTCTGAGAGCTTCGAGAGCTTCAGCGTTGCCAGCTATGGCTTCTTCGGCTCTCCATTGCACTGTGACGTTGGCGTTGTTGGTATTGGTCTTACTGCTGCTACAAAAGCTATGGTTTTCCATCTCAACGCGCGAGAGACAGAAAGAGAGGGAGACCTGAGAAAGAAGGAAGCTCTGTGATTGTGAGGCAGTGACTGTCGCCGCTCAACGGCGCTAGACGTGGCCTCTGGCAGAGGAGGTCATACAAATTACAATTAGAGCCTTTAGGTTTTATAGTGTCGGGCAAGACGTGTCTTTTTCCTTTTCCTCCTTTAGTTTACGGCGTTAAGAAACCCTCTTGAAAACTTGGGTGGGCCGGGTCTATGGTCAACTTAAACCTTACCAGAGGTTTAGGGTTGGCAATCAAACAGAGCCAGAGAGATGTGCGGAATTGCCTTGATCATCCATGGCGTTCGTTTTGATTTATCGTCCCTGCTCATCAATTCTACATTTCCAGTCCCGAAGTCTGAGCAAGTAAAGCCTCCCTATCATATTTTGTTTTTGGGTCAATAATCAAAGCTCTTTTTGGCTTACCCATTTCACTGAAACTGACTTTGTTGGTCTCGAGCAGCTAGTCTTCACCATTGCCGACCTCAGAGCCGCTTTACGAAGGAGGGGTCCCGACAGCTTGGGCAGCTGGAAGCTACTTCTTCATTCAACTGTCTCAAGTTGTCTTCCGGAGCTGGAAATTGCGTCTTCTATTGAGGAAGTAAAGGAGGAGTCTTGTTCTGAAGACGAAAGAATTTGTTTCTCTTTGGCAAATGGACGAACAGAAAGTCAGTTCAGCACCATGCCCAGCTCTGCTGCTGAGTTACACTTCTTTGGTGCCAGTTTGCAGCTCAGGGGAATAAGCCCTATAGTTCAGCCATTGATAGATTCCTCCAAGAATATCCTTCTTTATAATGGTAGGTCTTTGTTTTCGAGTTTGGGTTTTTTGCATTGCTTTAAAAAAAAAAAAGTTTGATTGCTGTTGGATATTAAATTTGGATTCTATTGTGATGCTGTTTTTTTAAGGTGAAATATTTGGGGGAATAGACATTGGTGGTGAAGAAAACGATGGTGAAGTTCTTCTGCAGTTGCTGGGAGAGTGCCGGTCTTGCAGTCCCTATTTGCATAAAACAAATCATTTTGATGGCATGGGTGAAGGATCTGTCCCAGATATTCTTTCTAGGATCAAAGGGCCTTGGGCTATCATCTATTGGCAGGTAACTCCGAGTGGTAAGTTTCATTTTTAGTTTATTAGAAATTTCTGCAGCATCTATCTTGCTTGAATTGGTTCTGAATTGTATATGTAATTTCATGGATAGGAAAGTTCAAAAATTCTGTGGTTTGGTCGAGATGCATTTGGTCGGCGGAGTCTTCTTGTTCACTGGCCGACAGTGGCTGACTCTCGGTTTCTGCTTTCGTCTGTATCACCGGTTTCTTCTGGTACATATTGCTCAATAGAGCTTTACTTTTATTCCCAATCATTGTTCTAAATCTTAGACCTAAGCGGCATTCATTGATTAATGTCAATGCACTGTAGATTTTGAAGCTGAAAATGGAACTACCAAACTAAATTTTTGGGAAGAGCTTCCATGTGGAATATACAGCATATCTATAGATGCTCCAAAACTTGATGGGCTTTTTCTTGGTGAAGTGAAAAAGCATGAATGGACTAATGCCATCCTAGAAGAACTGATCAAATGGGAGAGAACTTCCGTTGAACCCAAACCTGAAGAGTTGCATATTTCCAGTTCTAAGACTCTGACAAGAAAACATGATTTGCACTCAGTTAATTCAGATGCATTACCATCTAAGTCAGGTTAATATCATCCATGGTGAAGATAATCTAATCTGTGGTCAGAAAAATATAAGCTTTCAGTATTAGTTTTATTATAGGTTTTGTTGTCCGAGGTTCTCATTGTGCCTTTTTTTTTCACTGAGTAGGACCTATGCAAGCTTCAAATTCAGTGCTAGCACAGACCGTGTTAATGGCTTTAAAGGAATCTGTTATGCATCGCTCTTCACTGCACACAATTTTTCAGGTTCAGAACTCTTATTCCGTTGAATTGTTTACAATTCTGGTTGTATTTGTGTAAGGAAATGGAGAAATATGATCACATCCCCTGAAGATCTTGGAAGTCATGGACTTAGATTCTTGTTTCATAATCAATATGGTTTTATCTTTTGTGGTTTTAGTGGGTGCTTAGTGATTTGTAGGTTTTGGGATTTATATTGAACCCTTTTAATTGGAATCAATAGGCAGGTAGACATGATGTGGAAAACGAACTTGTACCGGTGGCAGTTCTTTTTTCTGGTGGATTGGATTCTATGATAATTGCAGCATTATTGCATGAGTGCCTTGATCCAAGCTGTAAGTTTAGCTGGATAAGCTAGGTCAGCAGTCTCTTTGCCTTAATGTTCAATGTTTGCTAAGATACTCAAAGTTTACTAATTGCATTGGGAAATCCTTGTGTGATATCTTTAGCTGGGTTGATTTTCTGTTTAAATTTATGTTGGCAGATGATATTGATCTACTTAATGTGAGCTTTGACGGGCGGTCTGCTCCTGATAGAATCTCTGCCAAGGCAGGGTTGAATGAACTAAGAAGAATTTCACCTTCGAGAAAGTACTCACTAGACTTTTCTCTTGAGTCTGTCTGTGTTTAATGTTTATTGACTAAACATGTGCGTAAAATAATAAAAACTTTGGACAATTATTTGTCTTTTATGACATTTTCATATTCATTTGAAGGTTTTGATATCGCCCCAAATTTGGTTCTTTGATTCATGCTTGTGCATTATGAATGTGGCAAATGCTAAAATACAATCTATCCTGCTCTCTAACGAAGTATTATGGTTCCCCGTACTCAGTATCACTTGGTTTTGTATTAAAGTCCTTGATGGTTTGATCTGTGTCTTCATGCTTATGGTGTTCCTTCCTATATGCAATTGGATATGCAGGTGGAAGCTTGTTGAGATCGATGCTGATTTGCCAACCTTGACCTTTGAAACAAAGCATGTCATGTCGCTCATAAATCCTGCCAACACTTACATGGTAGCCATTTTCATTCTATGGGCTAGTGTAGTTTACATTTGTGCAGGATATGTTTCCTGCTGGTATTTATATTCTTATTGTTTTTTTTTCCTGTTTGACTAAATTACGGTTGAGATGTCACAAATATGCAACATGTCCCAAGGTACAGTTTTCCGAATAGTTATCTGTTATTTTGTGTTGCAGGACCTGAATATAGGAATAGCTCTATGGCTTGCTGCTGGTGGTGATGGATGGGTGTATGAGGAAAATAGCAATTATAATGATGAGGATCGCCAATGCATTAAATACAAGTCCAAGGCTAGGATTCTTCTTGTTGGTTCAGGTGCAGATGAGCAATGTGCTGGCTATGGTAGGCACAGAACAAAATATAGAAATGGCAGGTATGCAAATAGATTGCAGTCTTGTAGAGTATTGCAATTTGTATGTCTTTGAGGTACGCATTCAGGTGGTCTAATGTGCTATCAGTTGGCTTGCACTGCATGAGGAAATGAAATTGGACATGCAGAGAATTTGGAAAAGAAACCTTGGGAGAGATGATAGGTGCATTGCTGACAATGGCAAGGAGGTACTGCTAATAACTCGAACGAACATCATTCATTGTCCCCTTACTTTGCATTATGTATTGATTATATAGTCTTAATTTATGCTAGGCAAGGTTTCCTTTCTTGGATGAAGATGTTATAAAAATCTTGCTTGGGATTCCACTCTGGGAGGTCACCAACCTTGATCAACCAAGTGGGGTAGGAGATAAGAAGATTCTGAGAGAGGTCAGTGAAAAAAACTTTTCCATTGATCTACTCGTGCACTTAATGTGGACTGAAGAAGATGCTGTCAGGCTTTTAATGCTTGTTTCTCGAACAGTGAATGTTGACCAAACACTAAATTGCTTTCCTATTTTATGTGCTATGAAAGGTTGCAGAATTGCTTGGTTTGTCTGAAGCTGCTGCTCTGCCTAAAAGAGCTATACAGGTGTTCATCTTTTCCGTTTCTTTCTTGCTTTTCTTCCTTGTTTTTTTGGGCTAAGCATGCAAAGTGAAGGTGAGATTTAGTCATTGAATTTTCTGCTTTTATGTTTTAGTTTGGTTCAAGAATTGCAAGGGAATCAAACCGAAAGAATTACGGAAGTAACCGTGCGGCAAATCAGGCATCTGCGGGAAGCGCAGTGATTCACAAGCAGCTGGACATGGCTTAGTGGGAGACAATTTGATGCTAAATGGCTGTCGGATACATGTTTACCTCTCCGTTTGATTGCTCTTCATTCTTCTAAATTCTAAACGTCTAATTAAACAGAGACATGTCGTATTATTTTGTATGAAAGAGAATTTGGCCTTGTATTATATTGGTTTTGTTTGTGGATGGAAAGAGCCTTTTTTTGCTGCAACCATGGCTTTGCAAATTTTATTTGACCAATTTTAAAGCCTAAACTCTACTTGACCAAGATATTATAAAATATTTTATCGGTTAGTTTCCAGTCTTACCAAATTTTATAGGTCGTATTATTGAAGAAAACAGATTGGTTGGGATGGGAGGGAGGGAGGGAGCGTGTGAGGTTTGCCAATGCCTGCCACTGCCAGCCCACTACTAGTCTCTACTACTCAAAAGTTCAAACTAGAAACACGCACACTGGACCTGCTCCTTGTTCCTCGCATGATATGTCTCTCCGTGCCAAAAATTAGGCATATTCGTCGAGCAGAGAATGTGAAATATAACATTTATAGCTAGCAATTTATATAATATTAAGCCATCGATGCAACTCATTTTAAGGGTTCAATACTATCTTCATAACTAATTAAATTAATATCACACATCATCTCACTATCATCTTGATCAAAATCAATCATTCTAAATTGTTTGGTCTTCATATCATAAAGAAGCAATTGGAGTGGACCGCCGTCAAATCCCGGTGTAACTCCATTAAGATAATGAACCTGTGTGGATTGTACCCAAAGCTTGAACGTAGCACCCACCACCGCCATATGTGCCTCCCAACATCATGTTAATAGTCTCCTTAAACCACACAAGGTTTTGATAGTCCTTCAAAATCCATAACACAATCATGTCCATAACACAAGGTTTTGATTATCATGATTGTGTTGGATGAGGAAAATCATGCTCTGCCACAATCTCATCAACTATGATTTTTGAAGAGAAGCGAAGATGGAAGAGCATAAGGTTCAGAACAAGTACCATGCACGGGACTTGGACCCATCGAAGCTACCCAAAGGGAGGAAGCCCAAGAATCAACAAAAAAAGGTGCGGATGATGCTTTCCATGAGCATTCGCTGCAATACTTGTGGCAATTACATTTCCGAAGGCACCACATTCAATTCTCGCAAAGAAGATGCCGTTGGAGAGAATTATTTGGGAGAACAAATACTTAGATTTTACTTTCAAATGTACCAAGTGCTCCGTTGAGCTCGTGATGAAGACAGACCCGCATAATTCAGACTACGTTGTTGAGGCCAGTGCTCGGCGAAATTTTGAACCCTGGCACAATGAGGATAAGGAATTAGATGAGGAGAAACGAAAAAGGGAGGCTGAAGAAAAGGGAGATAACATGAAATCCTTGGGGAGAACAGAACCCGGATTCGAAAAGAGAGATGAACACCGATGCTGCTTTGGATGAGTTGATGTCCATGAAGTCCATGCAAGCAAATGTGAGTGACGATGATAAGTGGAAGGCTTTGGAACGAGAGAACACACGGTTGCGGTAAAGGAGAAAAGCATTCAAGAGGAGGATGAAGCAACCTTGAAATCAGTAGTATTCCATAACTCAAAAGATTATGTTCGAAGATGATAATTCCAAGAGGCCAAAGCCTAGCCGGCAGATTGGTTGACAACAAGCAAGAGACGAGGAAATCAAAATGGCTCAGAAGCTCCAACGGATTATGCTAAATTCACTTTGAAGTCGCCGTCAACCGTTAGGGTTTGTGTAGTTAAAAGTGAAAAGGAAGAGAACAAAGCCAAAGCTACAAGCAATGCATTACAATCGTTGTTCCAAAACTACCATAGTGATGAATATAGTTTTAGGGCTCTTTACGTCATCTCCAGTCATAGGACTAAATGTAGTCTAAGGCTAAAAATTTAGCCCTTTAAAATATTAATTTTTTAAAAAATAGTGCAGAGCTAAATTTTTCCATCTCCAGCTATGCAGGGCTATATTTTAGGGTCCTTCATATTTTATCATTTTGAGAAAAACTATGGTACAACAGTCAAACATTCCACAACTATATATTATTTAATTTAATTAAACTACTATTTAGAGACAATATTCCATATATGTGACCACATTTAAACAAAAAAGAAAAAGAAAAAAAGGGGTCGTGACCAAGAGGATGGGTTTCAATGGTCTGACCTCCAATGGTCATGACCAATAATTTTTTCTGCTTTTTACTTAAACAATACGAATTGAAACATTTAAAAAGGCTTTTAAAAATATATATGCTTTAATGTTGGTTGTTGAAAAGCAAATGCATGAGACCCACAAAAAATTTGGGCTAGCTAAAGCTAACTACATTTGGCCCAGTTGGTGGGATAAAGAGCCAAATGTGGCCCTCCAAATTTGGCCAAAATTTTGTTTAGCTCATGGCTGGAGATGAGTTTTGCATTATATTAAGGCTATATTTGGGATATAATGCAAAACCCATCTCTAGTCATATGTTAAACAAAATTTTGGCCAAATTTGGAGGGTCACATTTGGCCCTTTAGCCCTCCAACCGGGCCACATGTAGCCCAGCTTTGGCCTAGGCCAAATTTTTTGTGGGCCCCATACATGTGCTTTTAAATGTTTTCAATTCATGTTGTTTAAGAAAAAAAGTATAAAAAAGTATTGGTCATGACCGTTGCAGGTCAGACCATTGAAAACCAATCTTTCTTTTTTTCTTTTTAAAATGTGGTCACCTTTAAAAATGTCAATTCGTGTAATTAAAAAAAAGTACAGAAAAATTATTAGTCATGACCGTTGGAGGTCATACCATTGAAACCCATCTTTTAAAAATAAAAATTACATGTGGTCACCTTTTTAAATGTTTTCAAGTGTTGTTTAAAAAAATTATAATTAAATTAAACAATATATAGTTGTAGAATGTATGAGTATTGTATCATAGTTTTTCTCAAAATAATAAAATATGAAGGACCTAAAATATAGCTCTGCATAGCTGGAGATGGAAAAATATAGCTATGCACTTGTTAAGGCCCAAAAAATCCACGGTCGGGCCCGAATAAATTATCAGCCCAAAATGACACTCTATCAAGGAAAGGCGTAAAGCGGAGTACACAAAAACCAGCCACATGCGAGTTGCAATCCACATGCCATGCTAAATAAATAATTCGTCATGCTAGAATATATCGACCCTGCAAATCCATGCTAATTATCCCATCAAGCATAATAAAAAGCATGCCAAGCGATGTGTCATGTCATGCCAAGCAGGAAATCATTATTATACACCCAATCACGTTACAAGCTTAAGTGGGCCCAAGCCACTCGAATGCTCGGGGCTTGCTCGAGTGGGTTGTGGTATGGATGGTAATGAATCAACATAAGGCCCATTGATGGGCCGAGAAATGGAAAGTCTCGGGTTGCTTGGGAGCCTTGAGACTCAAGCCCATTTCTTAGGCCCAAACATGTGGGTGAGCACAAGAGGAAAAGAAATAGCCCAAATAACCCAAATAGCCCCAAATAGCCTATTGACAAGCCCAGTATTTAACAAAATAGCCCACTTATTTAATGAACTACCTTGGCCCATACAAAGCTTCACAATAAGCCCACAAAAGCCTCAGCCCTTTGCTGGAAAAATAGAAGCCACGTAGAGAAGGTCTGCAGGTTCATTAAACAAAACCTCCAGACATGAGGGGAGCAAGTTCCAAGCAAGAAACATTCAAGGAACCAAAGAATATTAGCCTGCGAGCTGCCAGAAACACCCTTCGAACCAGCATATATTTCCCAACTCCTTTTCCCATCAGACTTGGCCATGGAAAAGAGAGAAGAAAGCAATAAAAGAAATAGCTGGGAGTGGAAATCTGTCACTGAGACAGCTGCGGGAAAATGGGGCCTTGAGCTCCCAAAGTTCCTGATTTTGTGCTAATAAATAGAGGAAATTTCACCAAGATAGGAAAAGCCAGGGGAGGAGAAGAGAAAGGAAGGGAAAAGCTTAGCCAAAATGGGTAGAAACTATTAGGGTTTCTTGGGAAGGGATGATTTCCAGCGCCTATAAAATGAGGCCTCTTCTACCCAACAAAAACAACCCCACGCCTGGAGAGCAAGCTTTCTCTCTAACTTGCAAAAACCCAGCAGTCTCGTGCACTGTTCACCATCTTCTCCATTCTCCTCTTCTGGCAAACAGAGTATCTGTCAAGTTGCCAGAAGAGCATTGTTCTTCATTTCTCTATTCCTAGCCAAATCTCCTACAAAATCTCTCTTTTCTCACCTTAACACTTCCCTTTTTCTCTATAAGAAAGCCTAAATTTCCTCTTAGTGCTAAACTCATGTTTATTTTGCTCCTATGCCACATGTCTCTCATGCAAAGCTTAAAATTTTATCTGTAAGCATGCATAAATTATCTGTAAGCTGCCATTATTTTGGTTGGTGAAGGTAACCAAAATACTTTTTAAGGCTCTACTACCCTTTCGAAGTATTTTGGGGCTTAATTTTCGAACTCATGCAAAGGGGACAATTTCATCAGTCTGCCCTTTTTACAGTAGCCCAGCCCATTTGCAGCTGCTGGAGGAAAAAGTCCCCTACAGCACTATTCTTTAAACAATTAATATTTGGAGGGCTAAATTTTTTGCCTCGGACTATATTTAACCCTATGACTGGAGATGACCTTAGGGCTATATAGCCCATGACTAGAGATGGCCTTAGATATAGGTCCACTTCTCTTTGGGTGTAATGGATGTAGTCTACAGGGTAATTGGTACACTTTGAATGATCGTGATCGAGTTATGCATAAGTAGTATTGGTTTTTCACATTAACACATTAATTTGTTTGGGTTTTTTTTTGCTTATTGGATCTATATTTTTGTTGACTTCTAAGCTTTTTGTGTGTGTATAAATTTAGATGGAATTGCTCAATTAATGTACCATAATTTTATCAATTTGATCTATTTGGTTTGATTGAAATTTGTGTTGGGGGGTTTGGGGAGTTATGATTTGGGCTGTGATTCTTGTGATTGGCGGCTCTAGTTGTGCAAAAAAACTTACTTGTAACGGGGATAGAGGCCAATAACACAATGATACATGAAAAAATTATTCTACGTGTCATTGCGTTATTAATCGGGTATAACAAAAAGCGATATTCCTATTGCATGAGAGTTTCTCTCCTAGTTGTGGGGTTTGCTTTATGGGCCTTTTGCCACCCCCTTGTAATGGTTTTAGGAAAGAGTCCTTTTTGTAATTTAAAAAAAACATGCAAAAGTACAACTACCACCCTCTTGAGTCTTTATAACATGGCAAAGTACAAATTGGTCGGAAACCTAGAGAACCACATACTCTGATTATTCCTAGTTTGTTCTATATTAACAAATCCATTTGCAGCTATATTCACTTATCTAAGAGTAGTTCCAGCGGTGGACTGCAGCCTGGGCAAGACAGGGCCCAAGTTCATGGAAGTGCTTCTAGCGGGTCATGCTTGTTATTGCCATGACAATCACTATTCACATTATATATGAGGAGGGGAATTTATTTAGAGTTTTAGTGTGGGAAGTGAAGAATATGACTAAGTATTTATTTTAAAAAAATTCTGAATTTTTTTAAGCAAAAAAAAAAAAAAATGACCCCATCGCTAACCCACACCCGCTAAATAGAAACATTAAACTAAAAGCCCATACTCGTCAGCAAACCCAGGCAACAGCCCAGGCTATTTTTGCCTTCGGGCCTACCCAAGCTTGTGGAGCCCACTAATTGCCAAGGTTATTAAAGCCCGTTGGAACATCAAACTGGAACTTGAGGCCCCTTTTGCCCGGGCGCAGGGTGGGAGGGGGGGTACCACTGGAAGTGCTCTAAAAACAAGTCTAAAAACGCTTTTGCCCATTTGGAAATATTGTGATTCTCTTTCAATAATAACTCATGCATCAATTCATGTACGGGTATTATCACATGTTATTATAAATTTTTAATAATATTATTAAAAAATATATAGTATCTCTTAATGCAGGCATAATGAGATTCGTGTGGACCCTACATCCATTAAAGATGCAGAATATCTTATATGCATCAAACCCTAGCTTTTTTATAAATTTTTTTTTTTGGGAGTGGATTTTCTCGATTTGGAAATTGAATAGGAAAGAAGAAATAAATTGGCAATTCTAAGCCAAAAAAAAGAGAGAGAAATTGGCAATTCTTGGCACAAAAGAAATTAGATTGCCAAATTTATCCTCCTTTCCCATTAAAGGCTTCAACAATTTTATCACCTTCCCTTTAAGCGCGTCTGACACACTGCCCAGCAACCGCGGAGCATACTGTTGCAAGTATCAGATATCGTGCACCACACACAGCCTAGCACCAAATTACCAATCAGGACAGTCGATCAAGAACCTTCCATTTTCATTAAAATAAATCAGGGCCGTTACATCGAAACCCTCGCACAAACATACCGTTCGATTTCTGCGGCTGGACCCCACATAGCAAAACTGGGCTGGGCAGGGAAAAGTAGAAATACGAAAATTCCCTCCAACTCCAACCAAAGACGGTGGGTCGACGAGTAGTACATATCGGACTAGGAATTGGAAAACCCCAATAAATCGCCTATAAATCTCAACCTTTGCATCGCCAGATTCTCCACCAACCACTTATAGTATTATTATTCTCGCAAATTTTCTCTGTTCTCTCCTTCCCTTGAAGCCATTGGAGGCGCTTCTTTGCGCTCTCGGCCTTCTGCCTTCTGGTGTGTATTGATTTCTCTCTGTGTTGGGTTTTATCAATTTTTGTTTGGGTCTCTGAGTTGATTGATTGCACTGTATCATGATGATTCGCTTAAGATTTGCGTTTCAGATCCAACTTTTGTTTTCTTTAGGATTTGCTTTGAGAACTGGTTTGCTTATTGTCAGGGATGATGGTTCACGATGTAAAGTTTGTAAATTTGGGTCTAGAACAAAGATTGTAGATTTGGGTTTGTATTATTTATGTTGTTTTTTTCTTTTTTTTTTTTTTTTTTTTAACTTCTAGTCATGATCGTCGCAGTACTGTAAAAGACTCACATTGACTATATAGAATCTGGAAATTGGGTTCTTTTAGTACTTGGGTTCCCTTGATTGTTAGTCAATTTGTTGGTTTTGGTTTGCTAATTCATGGATATTTATTTTAGGTTGTGTATGATTTAGAGAATATGAAAGTTTAGTTTTTGAATTGGGTTTTTGTTTTAGCAAATAGAATCTAACGACACCTTATTGATGCAGAGATGGAAAATCAATCAGCACATCCACACACCTTGGAGACTGTGGGCCATGCTTTTGTTAAACAGTATTATGATTTTTTCTGTCAACCTGAATTTCTTCATAGATTTTATCATGAGTCAAGTGTTCTATCCCGCCCTGAACCAGATGGTAAATCGTTGAAGACAGTGACAACCTTGGAAGTAAGTCTTGTAAAAAAATTTAATTGTGACTCACAGATGATCATCAATTGGTTGTTACAGCCAGTGACAACTGTGCAACATGAAGCCTTTTAATTGGTTGTTACATAATTTTTGTATTTTAATCAGAGTGTACATAGTCTGATGAGTTAATTGGATGTTTATTTTGAAACAGGACATCAACAGCATGATACTCTCCTTGGACTACAATAATTATCATTTACAGATATTGAGTGCTGATTATCAGTTTTCATTGAACGGCGGAGTGATTATCTTAGTGACCGGGCATTTAACTGGAAAAGACAACGTGCAAAGAAAATTTACTCAAACTTTCTTTCTGGCCCCACAAGACACAGGATTCTTTGTCTTGAACGATATCTTTAAGTACGTAGATGGTGTGGTGGAAAATATTGTTGTTGATCAAAGTACTCCAGAAGCTTCTTTGGCTCCAAATCATGGTACGTTCTATGAAATATAGGGTGTAGATTGTTTGGTTCTTATTGCTTCACTTTCTGGTAACAAATTTATTTATGGGTATTATGTCATTAGTTGTTACAGAGCCTTCTGCTGTTGCTGATCAACCTGTGCTGAATCAAACTACATCTGTGGAGGTTAATAATACCAATGGAAAGGAACTTAATAATACCCATGGAAAGGAAGCTATTAATGTGTTGGAGAATGGTCAAGAAACTGTTACTGAAAATAGTGTTGTTGCTGAAAATCCTGTTGAATCAAGGCAGAATGTTGCTCCCCAAGTAACAGAGGCAGCTGCCTCTAACACACAGAAGGATGCTCCAAAGAAATCTTTTGCATCAGTGGTGAGTTATGGTTTTGGTTGTCTTGTATTTGGTATCATGAGACTTATACATATCATCTGACGGTTTCTTGGTTCAGGTGAATGCCTTGAATGGGAATAACGCTCCATTCCTTATGAGGACACGTCCCACTAAACCCGTTGAGCGGCCTCGTGAACCCGTAACGCCAGAAGCTTTACCTCCCCGAAACAATAGTGCCACAGAAAAGAATAATGTGCCTGCAGGTTGATATTTCTTTTGTGGTGTAGTATTAAAATTTAGCTGTGTGGTCCTGCCAATAAATGAGGTGTTATATAACCTTCTCATTTATAGGAAAATCATTCATTCTTGTATCCTTTCAACTTATTGTTGCAGGTAAGTCTTATGCCATTTTCGTTGCCAAATTGCCCATGAATGCAACTGTTGAAGAATTGGAGAAGGTTTTTAAGCAGTTTGGACCCATCAAGCGTGATGGGATTCAAGTGAGAAGCAATAAGGTATGATTTACATTTAGTTGGTGTCCATCTTGAATTAGGCCTTTTGGTTTACTACTATTTACTTATTTTGTATTACACTTGTATATCCAGCAACAGGGAACCTGTTTCGGTTTTGTAGAATTTGAATCTGCTAAAGCCATGCAAAGTGCACTTGAGGTATAACTTTTGTAGTATGTATATTTTTGCCCATCAGTTTGAATGTGCCTTTTTGTAGTCTTCTTTGTATTTTAAAAGATTTATTCTTTTATTCTTTTATTTTTTAAATACAAATTGTTCAAACAGTGCAATGATTTAATCCTTTAATCACCATAATGTTGTTAGTTCAAAATTGATTTTACAAAATAAATTGGTTTAGGATTGTTTCAATTAGTCGTTTTGCTTTTCTAGCAAGAACATAAAGATTATGTTCTCATTTTGTTCAAATGCAGCAGGCTATATGATATGCCGTATTTTAGATGATTTTATTTATATTTGCAAGTTGATATACAGAACCGTATCTAACATGTGACATGCATGTACTGTTTCAGGCATCTGTCAAATATGGGAATTTTGAGCTACGTGTTGAGGAAAGACGAGGCAAGTTGAAGTGAAATTTATCTTTCTTCCTAAATCATGTGCTTTCATAGAATTTACTCTCTTTTCTCCACCATTGTCTTCGTCACGGGTGGAGGTGGTCACACCGAAATGACTTATTATTCAATCTGTTTTCATTCACGTGGGTCACGTTTGTATGTTATGTTATGTTATTTATTTTTAATTAAAGAAAGAACAGGAAGAGGGAGATGATAAAGAGAAGATAAATTAAGTTGAGGGATAACAGATGAACAGTATAGAATCACTCTTAAAATTTTAAATGGTTTAAGTTTTCAGTTTTAACTTATCTGTTCTCACCCCATAATTTCCTCGCTGCTTTCATCTCATTCTCATCTTCATCTTGCAATGCTGTTTGCTGACGGTCTTTATTATTGCAGCAAACAACGAGAGAGGAAGGTATCCGTCAGGAAGGGGTGGGTACCGAAATGACAGTTTTAGAGGCCGCGAGAACTACACTGGAGACCGCGGGAACTATACTGGAGGCCAAGGTTATGGAAGAAGTGATTCTGACAAGAGCGAACATCGCGAGTTCTCAGGTCAAACTAGGGGCAATGCCGGTCGCAATGGAGAAGCTTATCAGAGGCCTTACCAGAATGGAGGAAAAGTTGCTCGTCAAACGGGAAAGGTGGTGACATGAATTAGGTTGCAGCAGCGGCAGCAGCAGCTAGCTCTTTCAGTTGATTAGATTCTTATTTACAAGAATTTTCCTTCCTTAGTGAGATCTCATAGGTTAGGTGTTTTTGGTAGAGGCAGAATTTAGAATGCGGCATGTTTTAGGTCTTTGACATTATTACGAGGTTATTGTTTCCTGTCTTATTTGATTTGCATTTAACTTTCAATTTTTTTTTTGTAACTATATATATTTTTTGAAATAATTATCATTTTGTGTTGCTTGATCGAATAATTGGTGTGCGTGAATATTTGGCTTGGCTTAGGTTCATTCATGCCACACTTTTTTAAGCCATGGCCCATACGTGTGCAGTGCAGCGGCAGGCCTTTTTGTCATTCTTATTTCAAAAGTTAGCGTTAAAAGCAACCGCGTCTATTACCAACACGTGGCGACCAGATGTGTCGGAGAATCTTTCGTCTCCACATCAACATCAATGACGTGTCCTATCAGATCATCCCTTATTTCCTCCTTTTTCTGTCTGGCTATTTCTTTTCCTGCCCTTTTGTTTTTAGATTTTCCTTTTACGAATGGAGCAGGATGTCTTGCTCAAATAAGAAAAAAGGAAAAAAGAAAAAAGATAAGGAGATAATTATTTGGGAACTTTTTTGACCAAGCGACATTTTAAATTATTATTTTGATAGGGATTGAAGTCGACTCTCGAGTGTAAATATCCGTCACATTATCCTAATCAACTCTCTTGTAGTTTGAAGATTTTAATTTACATGATAATTTGAATCTAGAATAAGTGTTAAAGGCTCGTGGATTATCAATTCTTATCGCTTTTCATTTACTTCTTGTTTTTGAAATCGAAATTATGTATAATAAAAAATTAAGAAGAAAGAAAAGAAAAAGGAAAAAGTTGGCTATAAATATACAGGCGACATGTCGCTCTCATGAGTTGGTGATTGCTATACAGAACAGAGAGTAGAGTAGAGAAGAGGGGACCCCCACCCACTGGGGCACGTGGACTTCCTCAGTCCATCGGACACGTAGCAACACCTTGTTCTTTTACTATTTTCTATGGTGGGAAACTGCAACTTGTCACGGCTGGGTCCCACTGCGTCATTTACTCATGAATAATAATAATCATGATGACATGTTTTCTTGTTTGGAATTGGAATTGAAAGCACGTGCATCACACTCTACTCGCCCGATTTATACTGGATGCCCCCTACCTTAAAACTTTGTTCCTCGTTGACTTTTTCCCAGGGATAGATGTTGACCACAACAACACCACAGTTGTTTGGAGAAAAAAAAATCAATTAAAAAAAAAATTAAAGACTTAAAATCTAACTAATCTCGCTTTCATGGTAACAAGGAATTCAGCATGACTATATCTATTTTTTGTGTTGTGCAAATGTGTCAAATGGAAGATAAAAACTCTCATATCACCAAGTATATGCAAATATTATGATGTTAATTTCTCTCATGGTCATATAATCAAACACGATGTAGAGTAGATAAATTTATAAATACATTTAATATAGTAAAATAAAAAAGAAATAATTGACCTTTTATATAAAAATAAGTAATTAGTCAATTGTCACTCATGTGGCATTTGACACTTGTGTTATCTAAATCCACCGAAGTTTTAATTCCTAAACCAATTTACCATATATGACTAAAAATTGAAAAAACTCTATAATTTGATACTATTTTCTTGGGAGTTTAGATTGGTGAGTTAAGCTATATATAAAAAGATGTATGATATATAAATTCGCATTGAAAACATATTATAAATATTTCAAATGTGAGTTGGGTCAGTTGATGAAGATAGTGTGTTCATCTCCTTACAACTGAGTTAAATCACCCTGCGTATATTAGACTAATTTAGAATATATCTTTGTCAAGAAAACACTCTTGTATTGAAACATAAGCAATCCTAATTAAGAATAAATAAAAATAACATGTTTAATTTCAGATCTAAAAGATGTGAAGATGAGAGAGAGAGAGAGCAGCTCGTCAAATAATTGAAGACGACAGCTAAGGCTTAAGGGCGACCAACAATAAACAGACACGACTAGACGAGTGGAGAGAGAGGGGCAGAGACAACCCCAAAACCTTCGCCGAAGCTTTTACGAGGCCAAACGACTCTCACCCACGTGTCTGCTAACTGCTGTCCATAGGAGATCGACACGTGTGTTCTTCTCCCTTCTTCATTCTCCTCTCGACACGTGTCTTGGCCAGGACAACTTACTGTTACTGGTAGAGACGCCAAAAAGACAATGCCAGTCGGGCTACGTGTCTCCGCGGTATTCCCCGAGAGGGCCACTTGGCTCCCCCAAGTACTTTTCTTGTCAAAACGCCAAGGGTATTATTGGAACACAATAAATTTTGCCAATCTCTCTCTCTCTCTCTCTCAAGCTAGTCTCTGCTTGCCTACTTTCTTTCTTTCGTTTTCCTCGCTCTCTCTCTCACTTCTTCTGTTTTTCTTTTGATTTCAGTTTTTTTCTCCTCTGTTTTCCCCAGCGAGCCTTGCCGGGATTTTCATGTCAAATATCTCGGATTGGTCACTCGGGAAATAACTCATCAGAGTGAACTGATGGCTCATAAAGAAGCAGAGAGAAACGGCTTTGTTTGTTGGGTCGTTTCTAATTTGGGATTTGAACTGAATGCGAGCGTTCTTGTATTATCTTGAGACCTGAATATAGGTTCTGATAATTTTAAGCAAGTTTCTGCATATTGGTTATGTTGAAGCAGATCGAAGTTTTGTTTTGTTTTAATCTGCAGAGACATATATAGCTGCTGAAGTACTTAAAAACGCATACTTTTTATTTTTTATTTTGGTGGTTTTTTTCCTTTGTGCTGGAAAACATGGGTGAAGCTAATGAAGAGCGAAGGAGAGCAATGGAATATCTGTCTTTGCAAATTGACAAGTACCCAAGAGATCTGCTGCAGAGATTAATGTGTAGCAGCAACACACAGCAGTCGCAGTATGCAGAGCCTAGTGAAGAAGAAGAGTCAGATGAGCTGGAGTTAAATCTCGGGCTTTCTTTGGGTGGCCGATTTGGGGTCGACAAGAGTTCCAAGAAGAAGCTAATCCGATCTTCATCCATTGCCGGAACTATGCCGTTTGTGAGAGACGACAACGACCCAACGACACCGGCGCAGGTGTCGTGCCCGGCGAGTCTGATGAGGACATCTTCACTTCCCACGGAGACAGAGGAGGAGTGGAGGAAGCGGAAGGAGTTGCAGACTCTGAGACGATTGGAGGCCAAAAGAAGAAGGTCAGAGAAGCAGAGGAACTCAAACTCAAGCAAGGCTGAGAAAGAAGGGGTCTCCTTGGAGGAGGAAAGGCGAGAACTTGAGGGGGGGCCAAATTTGAGGGATAAGCAGCAGCAGCCGTACGATGGGGCTAGTAGGGTTAATCGGACGGTGGGTCCGCCTTTTGTGTTGCCAAGTTGGGCTGCAGCAGCAGCTGCTAGGCAAGCTTCTGTTGGTGGTGGAGTGGATGCACTGGAAAAATTGAAAGCTGAGATTTTGGGTAGTTTACAGGGATTTGGAGGACAACCCACTTCGCAGGGTTCGATGGAGTCACAAGGAGGAAGCTCGTCAGGGATGTCAGAATTGGAGAGTAAACCTCTTCAAGGTATCTCATTTTTCTTCTCCTTGTCTCAACTTTCTGTTAACTGTGTTGGTTAATTTGAATTTTGATGAATTCTTGGATTGAAATTCAGTTGTTGAGTGGTTGATTGATTTTGGGTAGAGCTAGCTTTATTTGCTCTAATTTGCTTTGGTTGGTTGGTTGGTTTTTTGTTTGTTTTGGAATAAGATTATAGGACAAGTCTGCTTCATTAGCAGATGGCGTCTTAGGTTTTCCCATGTGGTATCTTTTGTTCTTTGTTGTAGGTTGGATGTTTTAATCACGTGCTCCCGTCCTTAAGTTAGTTAATGGAGAGCGATGCCAAATTGGTTGCTAAGAAAATTTGGGAACAAGAAAGAGTGCAGTATTTTAAATGTCACGCCATGTACTGTTTTCCTTTCCAAAAGATGAATTATTACCTTAACAAATCTAAATAGTTGTTTTAGGTTCGGTTTGGTTTACTTTCCAGAAAGTGAATGGAAAAGGATTGCAAAGGGTTACAGAGAGGCGATTTTGAGAGAGAAGGTGGAATATTTAGTAAAAACAGTGAAGTGCATTCTGAATCTGATGCATGATAATGAATAGTCTGCAAAAATGTGTGCGACATTGAAGGACACGGATGCTGTTGTTTTTGCAGCAATCAGGGCCAAACCAACCTAATACCTTACACCCATTAAGAAAATCCAACACTCAAATCATGTTGCTACCATACAGAAATAGAGCTTTGAGCTTTTGGTGTATGCTCCTTTTTGGAAATGTGTATATATGCTTACCATAAATCACTAAAATGGTTATATTAAGTGGAGTTCACTTCACTGGAAATGCGGAAGTAGTTCAGTTTTTGACCCACATGATGAGTCAGCAACCTCAAGTTGTTTGGGAATATAGGTTGGATTTCACTTTATATCGCATAATGGTAGTGGTTGCCAGGGAAGGGGCCAAGAATGTATGTCAAGAAACAGGCTTATATTTGTTGCCTGTTAGTGTTCTTAGTGCTAAACTTCTCTGGTAATGTTTCACAGTAAAGCATTCCAGTTGGAACACTTACCGGTCGTTAGTGTTTTCCACCGAAAAATATATCACTCATCAAAAGAACATTTAAGAGAAAACCCACAGTGACTTGTGTTCGCCTGGATTGTGGACAAATCAAGACGTACTGGTAACTGGTACAAGCAATCTAGGGATAGGGATGTAACACTGATTCTAGTGCTCCATGGAAGTTCTTTTCCTTGACGTTGCACCTCGAACCTGCGAGTGATTCTGAAATCCTCTAGTGGATGCATAATCTTTTCTGACCAAAATGAAAAATATGCAAAAGCAGAGATCATTGTTTACCTTATCCTACTGTATCCTTATGCTGTAGCCAGGTAGTCTATGGATTTCTTTCTTGACTGATGCCAGCTTCTTTCTAGCTGTTGTCAAGGTGAAAACTAAGAGTTCACTTACGATAGATTTATATGTAGTTCAGAGAGGTTCTTGCGTACTGTCACTGGAGAATGTTGCTTTTAAATTTCCAAATTGCTAATATCATCAACCTTGTGAATTTGAAATGAATAAGATTCCGCAACAGGTGAAGGGGATGGAACGAAAGAAGAAAGACTGCTCTGCTTCTATTTCCTTATAGTTTTCCCTTAACATCACAGGATCCAGCAATTGCGGTGAAGCAAGAAGCCCTGCTAGTAACCAGTTGTTGCAAGAACAAAGTAATCAAGACACCGTGGGCTCTTCAGGGACAGGGACAGCTGAGGATGCATCCAGAGCTTCCAGAGCTGATGTAGAAAGCAAGTGTAAGAAGCCAAATTCTTCAGAGAAAAGTGGACGTGAAACTAGGACGAATGCTATGGAGGACATGCCTTGTGTTTTCACAAAAGGAGACGGTCCTAATGGTAGAAAAGTAGAAGGAATCCTATACAGATATGGGAAGGGAGAGGAAGTAAGAATAATGTGTGTTTGCCATGGCAGCTTTCTCTCTCCAGCAGAGTTCGTGAAGCACGCAGGAGGGAGTGATGTCACTCACCCACTTAGGCATATAGTTGTAAACCCTGCTGCCACTTCCTTTTTGTAATGGAGTGTTCCCTTATACTTTATGCCCCTTAAAATAAGGGGATGTAGAATGGAAACAAAAGGAGATGATCTAAATTTGATAGCTTCTTTTTCTGATTTTGGTTGATTCTTGGTAATAAGTTCTAGAAATGGAATTGATATAAAATAATAACTGCTAGTTTGGAAAAGTTTTAAATGCACCCTTTCTTAGTCTTGCGTCTGCTGATCTGAGTTTCATTTTTTCAACCTCTCCTGTAGCCAACCATTTATAGAAGCAAGTATGGGGTTATGATAATTTTAGAGAATAGATGATCTGCTGATTTGTTTTTAGGTAACATATTAAGGAATATTGCTATTCATTCCAATTCCAATTCTTGCAACTAATCCCAAAATCATATTTTCCATCATGAAGATAATCATCATTTAAGAAGCAAAAGAAAAGACAAATTGGGGAAGCATAAAGCAATAAACAAGAGAGAGGAAGACTTAAATTTGTCCCAGTGAAGAAAGGTAGGTAGCTGCTTCTACCAGTGGCGGGTTCATTTTAGAAATATTTGTTCAGCTCCAAAGATTTGCTGCTTGAATACTTGGCTTCTTGCACAATGGTTGAGAAGTTCATAATAACTCCCTTCTGTATCCTGGTTCCAGCTTGTGTAATTGGTAGTTTCTCACTTGGATGCATGTGGTTGCTTTGTGAAGCTTGCAAACTGGTTTCCGGTATAAATGAGGCTAAAGGGAAAATGAGAAGTTCGAACCTATTGAGTGAAAGGTAAATGCTCTTTGCTACGACTCTACGAGGTTACCCACCTCGACAATTGACTTTTGACTTGTTTGGGCTTGGCAGTTTTGGGTATATGGGCCACGTCTTTTGTATCTCTTTAAGATAAGGCATGGTAACAACGTGTTGTATGTTTGTGTTGTGTCATTCGCAATTGTTATATCCTCAGAGATCTCACTCTCTTTTTGTTAAAACTCTATCTCTCCGAGTCCTCTTCTTCACAACACAAAATTGCTGCTACAATTCTCTTCACTTCTTCACCACAACATGTAAGCCCTAAATCCAAAATTGAACTGCCAATTCAGGTAATTTATCTCTCATGATAGAGTTTCTTGATTAATTGTGTATTTCTGTTATGGTTCTTATCAATTTCTCAGCTTTGATCTGAATTTTTAGATTAGCCCTAGATTTTTTAATTAGTTAGTCCGATGTTATTAGTTCTTTTTTTTATTTTTTCTTCAGCTGATATTTATTAGTAGTGTTTTATGATTAGGGTTTTCTCGTCCACATTGTAGGCTTATAATTTGTTGGTAGTTTTTTTTAATTAAAAAAAAAAGTTGGCCTTTTCCCAACAAATAAACCCACCACTCCATCTGATCTGAAATCAAGGCCCAATATATCCCAAAAAATGGAAATAGCTTGGTACCAAAAGGTGAAAATAGCGCATCGACACGATTGCATTAGATTGCATCAACCAACCAACTAGGCATGTTTCCCAATTACAGTGAGATTTCCATATCTATTTGCTCACCTACCACTACTAGTGCAGAAACAAAGAACACATAGATGATTATGTTATGTTTATAAAGAACAATAAAGAACCACAGCTCAGCTACATCCTACAGGGTTATGTTACAAGTAGGTCATCTAACAATAAAATTAATCAGAATGAATGATACTATTATCAAGGTTTTATAACTTAGAGAGGCACACCATGTCAACCCCCATCCCATTCAGCAGGTTTTCCAATTTCTTTTTCTCAATAAAAGGCACTTTTCAGAGGCCTTTGCAAACAAAGCCTCATCAGGTCCTGTTATTTGTCAAATAACAAGACAGAAAGTTGCAACTTAATTCCAGAAATGAAGTACGATGTCTTACTGCTGTGTTCACAACCGAAGCAGGGCATACTAGGGAGAAGTAAATGACTATAGATAACAAGACAATCAAGCACTACCCATTTTTCAGTTCGGATTATATTTAAACTGCAAACGAACTGAGACAAACTTGTATAGATGCAAGGTTCAAAAAATTTCTCAGCTCAGGAGAATATGCTTGTTACAACAGCAACAACAAACTGAGAACCAAATTTGAGGGATCCCCAAAATTTGACTGCGCACGAATGTACAAATTACAAGCATGTCCTACCTTCTATACTTCTAGGGTTATGGTCTACCTCTACACTTATACTCTGGTCATTACCTGGCTAGCCTGAAATAGGTTGGATTCGCTTCAACCTTCGGACAACTTGCTTCATTGTAGGCCTAATGGAGAGGGTCTCAACTGTGCACGTTACAGCCAAGTACAGCATCTCTACCAGATCATCCTGGGGTCCGGCATCCCATAGCCCTTCCATGAAGACCTCCTTAGCCCGACCCAATCGTAACAGCATGCATGCCCAAGAAACAATGTTGAAACCATGGCCATGTGAAGAAAATGAAGGGTCCAAGGCTTCTTTATCCGAAATCAATTCAAGCAGCACGACACCATAACTGTAAACATCAGCCTTTTCAGACACACGACAAGTCATAGCATACTCTGGTGCTACGTAACCAAAAGTCCCTGCCACACCAGTTGTTGCATGTGTTTCAGAAGTTCCCAAAAGCCTAGATAATCCAAAGTCAGACAAATAGGCATTGTACTCATCATCTAACAGTATATTACTTGGCTTGACATCACGGTGCAGGACACGCGGAATACACTCATCATGCAGATAAGCAAGTGCATGGGCTATATCCAGAGCAATCTTGTGGAGAATATTCCAATTAAAAGGTCTTCTAGATCTTTCCTTAATAAAATTTTCCAAATTGCCTCCTGGTAAATAATTATATATGAGTAACATCTCAGTTTCACTGGCATGGTAACCTATTAAAGTCACCAGGTTGGGGTGTCTCACCCTTCCAAGGGTCTTAATCTCAGCATGGAACTGTTGAACACCATGAAACCTTCCAACAGCAAGCCTCTTTACAGCTACAATGGTTCCAGGACCGATTTCGGCTTTGTAAGTGGCCCCAAATCCTCCACTCCCGATGTAGTTGCTGGCATTAAAATTCGCTGTTGCTTGAACAATATTCTCAAACGTCAATGGAGCCCCAATGTCTGTAAAAACTGTCATTTCTTTATATTCAAAACCTTGAACCCTGGAATCTGGTATCCATTTTCTAGTGTAAAAGAAAAGGATAACAAGAGAGAGCAAAACCAAAACAACAGCTGATGCAGATACTATAGATGCAATCTCAATTGAGTTTAATCCACTATTGTCCACGTCACCAACAGTTTCTGATGAAGAATCAGGGTGATATTGTGAATTCCCTGAGCTATCTGGTTGATCTGTTGATGGAGCAGTGAGCGAAACAACACGGCATGGATTAAGGAAAGGGTTTCCAAGGACACCGCTACAGTTCATCACACTATTGTTAAATGGAAATGAACCAGACAGGTTATTGAAGGATGCATTAAATGTAGATAGTGATCTTGCCTTAGTCATTCCTGAAGGGATGTGTCCAGAGAGTTTATTGTCGTCAAGCAGAAAAACAGTTATGTTTTTCAAGTTCACAAGACCTTGTGGAATATCACCAGAAAGAGAATTTGAAGATAGTTTTAACACTTCAAGGGATTGTAACCTCACAAAACTAGCAGGAATTGCACCAGTAAGGTTGTTATTAGCCAGAGACAGATACTTAAGATACTTCAAATGACTGATATCCTCAGGAATTTGACCCTGCAACCGGTTCCTGCTCAAGTCAAGAAAGACAAGAGATTTCCAATCCCCAAGATCTGGAGGTATTGACCCAGATAATAGATTATCAGAGACATCCAGGAATCTAAGATATCTGCACATCACTCCAACCTTAAAAGGAATGCGACCTGATATCTTATTGTTGCTAACATTGATAATCATTCCATGTAATCCATCACATTGTCCTAGTAAGCTTTCAGGAAATGATCCAGTGAGTTTGTTCCCACCAGCAAGAAATGCATAAACAGCCCGCTTTCCCAATCCCTCCGATGCAACAGGGAGGTGTTGGATTGGACCAATGAAGTTGTTACCACTAAAATCGTGAATCATTGTGAAACTAGCACCAAAAAGTGGTAAATGGGTGTCAAGCTGAGTTCTGCAAGCAAAGAGCAATTTATATGCAACTGATGGATTGTGGACTCGGACAAGATCTGAATTCGGGGGCACCTGGGGACACACTCTGTAACTAAACTCGGGGATAGGTCCAGACATGAGGTTCCCACTAACATTGAAAACGGTCATACAAGGAACTGGAAGCTTCTCATCAATCTTCCCACTCAGCTTATTTGAGCCCAAATTCAGATAATGCAGCTTCTTGCATCTTTCAAATACTCCAACAACTTCTCCACTGAAAAGGTTCTGAGCTAAGTTCACCATTTCCAAGTTCTCACAACCGCCCCAATTGCTTGGAAGCTTGCCTTCAAGGGTTGCCCTTGGTGCCCAAACTATTTTCAAATTTGGCAGGGTTGTAATTTCCTCCGGAATGGAGCCTTCATAGTAATTGTAATCGTCCTCCCGACCACTAGATCTTTCAACTGATGAATCTTCATTGGTATTCTGATGGGATGTCAACGGATTAAAACGAGTTGATAGGACAAGGATAGACAAATTGACACACTGTCCGAGCTCAGAGGGGATTGGACCGCTAAGGCTATTCCTAGAAACATCTAGAACTTCAAGCCTTTGAATCCAACCAAGTTCTCGGGGAATGACACCATCCAACATATTCGAAAACAACAAAAGAGTCTGTAACCGCCCACAATTTCCCAAACTACCTGGAATACTTCCAACAAGGGAATTCCCTGACACATCAAGCTCTTCAAGATTCCGACAATTATGTCCAAATTTAGATGGTATAGACCCATTTAACCTATTTTGAGACAAATAAAGCCCTCGCAGCTTTGGAAAACTACCAAAGAAGCCAGGAATGGTTCCACTCACTTCATTACCAGCTAAATGCAGAACCTCCAAATTCATGCATCTGGAAAGCGAAAAAGGAACCTCGCCGCCAATTCTATTAAACCCAATATTCAAAACCCTCAACTTTCTCAAACCCGAGAACAGGTTTGGCAACTTCCCGGTCAACAAATTTCCCTCAAGATCAAGCACTTCAAGCTTCTCTAAACCCCAAACTACCTTAGGAATTTCGCCATTAAGTTCATTGTAAGGCAGCGATAAAACTCTAAGCTCAGTGAGCTTTCCAACCCAAGGTGAAAGCTTTCCAGCTAAATTTCCACTACTACGTGAACTAGTTCTCCACACCCCAAACCCATTAAACGGAAATTGAAGTTTCAAAGTCTCAGAGCAAGAAAGAGCTTGAAAATTACCTCCTTTTCCATCAATGCCCGTGATTCTGAGCGAGACGACCCTGGATTTGGAGTCGCAGGAGACCCCGAGCCACGAACAGTAGTGGTCGGAGCTGTTTGAGCTCCAGCTGGAGAGAACCCCATATAGGTCTGGAAATGAGCTCTTGATCTCAAGCAAAATCGATTTCTCGGAAAACAGCGCTTCCCCGGAAACGGAAGAGAAAACGCAGCAACACAGTAAGCAGAAGACGTTGACTAAAAGCACGGTCTTGGAGAGCAGATGGCATCTCATTTTCTCAGAAACAAGAGGGTAAACGGCGTCGTTGCGGTTTCCACCTTTACCTCCTTCGTCTTCCGTATCTGCTTCTTCTGGTGTTTACGGAGAAGACTGTGAGGTCTTTGAGGCGCTTCTCTTAAGTTGTTCATTATTATATTGGTTTTTCTTCTGCTGGTTTTAGATTGGAAAATTCATTGCCCAATGGCAGAGAGCGTGGGTGGGGCCCAGTCGACTTTAAGTGGTGTTGTGTGGGGACCATTGTCGGTCAATGAACGCATAAGGTCGTCAACATATGGCTGCTGCTTGTAAAACCATGCGGATACTGGGGCCCTGCATGTTTGTCTACGTGGCGGTCTTTCTGTGCCACCTGCCGTCAGGACACATTCTGCTTTTCATTCTCTTCTTGCTTAACGACTAAATAATAATAATAATAAACAATTATTGTTTCCGTTCTAATTATTATTTAATCAAACCTAATAATTTTCACAAAATCAATTTCCTAATTTTGGTCTGAATTATCGTCAATAGTTTCTATTTTCTCTAATTGAATGTTACAATTTCAATCATAATTTACAATTTCCGCCCAAATTCTGATATTGCTCACAAAATCTGATAATCTCATATCGCATCATTAGTTAATGTGAGATAATTACCACTACTTTCTTCACGGAATAGTTAACTGGTGCTGGTTGTTCTGATTGTAAAACAAATTAACCCAAAGTAATGTTAGTTTACAAAAATTCTCCAATAAGTATTTTATGTTAAGGATTGATTACATATTTCTAATCTCGACCGTTGGACTGCATGTTTGTTGCATATTAAATCTACCAACACATCTAATGAATACAATCCAACGATCGAGATTAGAAATATGTCACTAATCCTTAGCTTAAACGAACCCTTAAGTTCAAATATATGTAGACCAAAGAAATCTATAGATTAAGTTGACCTTGAGGAGGGCATTATTCTCATACAAATAGCAATTACAGTGTACTCTAAATCATAGTGTACAATGAATTATATTTTTATCTTTGAAAAACCACTTATGAATTGAGAATTAAGAATCAAAGAAATATATATCTCCCTCTATTTGGTATTTTTTGTGGCTCTGGTGGCACACAGCCACTGCCTTGGGGTCTCAATGTCATCACCTGTGGTTGTTGGCACGTGCCACCGCCCATCCTCCGACTCCTGCATTTACATCACCCAACAATGCATTCATCAACTTGTGTTCTAGGCTGTTACAACTCCATACAACTAAAGCATAAGTTTGTGTTTATACTCAACAACTAGATGAAAGAAAGAAGAAGACATTATTGGCTGATTATCACACCTGAATTACAATTGAATATGGCGGTGGCATGTGAAGGGCAAGTCCCTGCCTCGAGACTGACATTCGAACCTGCAAAATATTCACATATAAACAGTGAACAATTTAATTGATTTATTTTTCAAATTTCTGGTTACTGGTATTTGCCATACTATCTAAGAAAGAAATACAAGAACAGCCAAATGCCCTTTCAAATGTCTCCTCCCTTATTATCTTTGAGAAATTGGGGGATACATTTAAAGAAGGATCCAAGCAAAAGCCCCCTCAAGCTGTTTGCATGGATGGATAGACAATTCGGACAAGATTTTGACTACATACCAAAGATTCTTCTAGATATTGAGAACATAAATCAGCAGAAGCATGATACCTGATGTTTTTCCTTCCATCTTGGGAAAAAGTTAGTCCCTAGAAGTTGGAACAAGTGGTCTCTCATCTCATCGTTTGTCACTAGCAAACACTTGGAATTAACAGAAGCATATAACCAGTACCTATAAATCACACGGGAATACCTTTTAGGCACATTCAAACTCTGGTAATAATTAGAGACCTATAGATATTTAAGCCATGGAGTATGTATATATATATATATATATATATGCTGCAACCATTCGTGTATATATTTCTCCTTTTCAACATGCAACAATCTCTAAGAAATCAGTCCAATCATTTTATTGCTCAAGATATGCAAACTTACCAATCATCATTTGAACCAGCTGGGGTAGCATAAAGTGCACCAGCCTTTTTCCAACTCTCTAACAATTTCTTGTTCTTAGGATTCTGAGCAGGGCCACCAGTTACACGATTTGTGTGTAATATAACAAGTGGCAATCTCTTTGATGGGCTCATTTGGCGTAACCGGTTCACCAGAGTATTGAGCTACAACCAAAGATGGAGTCATGAAGTAGCCTATTTATATACTGATATGAAGAAATCAAACTATGGAGTGTTACAAAACTAATCATAGTCTCCCACTCACCTGGGAAAAGCTGAAATTATGTAGATTGATAAGACCCACATTGGCACCATCTATAACAGCATCAAATGGACCATGCTTCTGAAGCCACTCCTGGATGAGTTTAACTTCTAATCAATCATGACAGCTGACAAACATATTATGTATCATTTGCCTGAATCATATAAAATATGAGATATCGACCATTGACTAATTAATGAAATTGGTATCATGATAACATGACAAGAAAACACACGAGGAATGGGGGGTTTGACAACAATTGGATCTCACAAGATTGGGAAGGCACTCACTTGTACTCTTTATAAACTGTGCCTCCTAATAGAGTTTCTTTCTTTTTATGGTCGGACCTAATGGAGTAATGAAGCTATTTTCCCAATAAACCCAAGCTTAGGAGATATCATATCACATACACTGTGTTCTAAATTCTAACGTCAGTCTTGACCTCTAAGCGGGATTGAAGCACTAATCACCACAAAATTAGTATTTAGTTAAACACCAATATAGTTGCAAACAATTTATCTAACTTAATGCATACATCCAAAAGGCCCTCCAAGGGGGAACTCTTCCCATTAATATAACGACATGAATATAAGATGCATATCAATCGCATAAGTTCATCCAATCATTGAGCTTTCAAATTTTCGAATTATGATATGCTAAAGTTAAAACTTGAATCTTAAAACTCTAATGCGTCATGGGTAACTAATTTTGTTAAAATCTCAGAAACTGAAGACAAATAAACAAGGAAAGCAGAGTCGCACCTTGAACTGAAAAAAATCAGCCTTAACCTCCCTTTGGCTAGCCAATTTGCTCAAAGAGGTAGCAAAATTCTCAGTTTCTTTTGGATCAATATCGATAGAAACAAGCTTTTGGCCGCAACAAGAGCATGTCCCTGCTTCATCCATCTGAGTCCTAACCACCCTCCAATTCCCACTCCCCAACCACCCTTGCCCATGCCACCCACCACCTCCTCTCACAACCCCTTCCCTCACCTTCTCCACATCCCAACTCTCCATCCCAGCATTCGCCGCCTCCTCCGACATAAACCACTCCTCCACCACCCCAGAAGTGGACTCGGAGACCTGCCTCACGGAAATCCGCAACCGGTGCAACATCTCATAAACCTTGTCACCCTTGCTAGAATCAGAACTAACTTTTAACAAAGCAGAAATCTCAGGCTCCTCAGCGATGACCTTAGATTCTACCATGTGGGCATCAACTTCATAAGCTCTATCAGCCTCCCCCTTCTTACAGAACCCAAACAATGCCGGGCCGTAGGACCTCAACTTGGGCGGAATCCCAAGACCCTTCATCTGCTTCACCAAATGAAAGGCCATTTCCGGGTCCTCTGCCCCTGCCGCAAGCCTAGCAGCACTGGTAAACGTTGCCTCATTGGGCACAACCTTATCATCAACCATCTGGCGAAAAATCTCAAAACCCCTCTTCAGACCCACACCATCATCATCAGCACCACCATTGGAAGAGCACAAATAAAGCAAAACATTATAATGGTGCAGACTAAGCGGGAGCCCTCTACTTCTGGCCTCATCATAAAGCCTCAGAGCTTCGACCAGGTGGCCATGCCTGGAACACATGTCGAGCTTGTGCCTCAGTACCCCCTCCGGAGATTCTCGCCTTGCTTTCTTCTTGGATTTGTTGGAAACCAGTGGCGCCGAAGCCGAACGCGAAGGTGAATCATTGGAGAGAGCCAGAGTGCAAAGATGGAGCCTTTTGTCCATGGAGAAGTTGTCCATGGAAGTTGGGGTCAGTTTAGGTTTCGGGAAGTGGATAGTTGTACGAAAAATGCAGCGAGAATTGCGGGAGATTAGGGGAAGTGGGATTTTGATGAACAAGGAGAAGAGAGGTGGGGTTCTGGCGAGAGCGCCTACCATTTTTTTAATTTCTTTTGGGTTCTTGTTGTGGATTGTAAATTTGTAATGCAAAGCAATTATTGGGTTACTGAAAACAAGTCTGGTTATTTTCTCTTTTATTCATGTTTGCAGGGCTGAGAGTGAGAGTGAGAGTTGAGCAGAGAGGTTGAAAACATCTGCAACTATCTAAAACCCTAGCTGCCACTCCGTGAGCAGGAAACGACACGTCGTACCGGGCTTGCTTACTTAACTTCCTCTCTTTTTTTTTTTCTTTTTTCCATGACCAAAAAAATAAATAAATAACTAAAAAAAAAGAAAGAAAGGGAGAACCATACAACAAAAATGTGCGGAAGTGTAGTTATAAAGTCATAATTAAGAATAACCAAGACGAGATTTTGTTTAGAGGAAGACAGAGACAAGCATGTTAAACCCGAAGATGTATTATCAATGCCTTTGGAAAGAAGACTAGTTTCATTTAGATAACAAACCAGCTAAACGTATACAGCTACACATATGCAGCTCTCTGTGAATTCACCAATTAATTTGATCATCTTCAAGCAAGACGATCCACAGTCAAGAAATAACTTCCCACCATGATGAATGATGCAATCCCACTGTGAGCCATCCGTAACCCAAGGCCACGGAACAGGAGATTCCTGTCTGCAGGGTGAATCCCTGTAAGTCTCTCAAACCTATTCCCTGGTCTTCCCCATTTCAGAAGCTTCCTCTCCGTGGAGACAAACTGCCCAAAACAAAACACAAACTTTCAACATTCATTACCAAAGCAACCTTATTAATAAAAAAACACCCATTGCAAGGCATTTTGTTGAGCTGATGCTAGTAGATCATGCCCAAAGCAGACTAACGTTGCCAAGAACAGGTAGCATACCTTGGGCAGCACAATACATTGTGATCGAGACTTAGCAGTGTCAAAACAATGAGAAGCAGCTGCAGCAACTGAACCAGAAACTCCAGCAGCAAGACTCACAGCCCAAGGAGACAGCGGACCAATTTCATCATCCGACCTTAGACAAAGAAAATGCACTTCAGTGTAAAAAGAAAAAGGGTACGTTAATTTATTTTTTACATGTAAGCATTGGATGCACAGAGATGAGAAATGCAAAATATGGTTCTTGATGGTGTGATTGAACTAATACGGGGTAGGTCATAGCAAGTCCCTTTAATACCTAGGTTCTGGATCCATCCCCACTGCCTTCCAGTCAAGCATTGCTCGGTGCAGGGATTGCCAAGTAGAGAAGAATATGCCACCAAAAACTGAATCCCGAACAACCCCTGACCGTAGGCCTCTCCATAATGCACCCCATCCTTCTAAGGAGATGACTTCAGATGGTTTCCTAACACTGAAAACGGATGGTGGCCTCCCAGATCCCGTCATCATCCATGGATACTCTTGTAAAGCACTCATCATATTGGGATGTTTGGTTGTTAGGGTGGATAAAAGGCCAACAGAAGAATTTAATGCCTTCATGTCTGGAATATATCCACGCAATAATCTTTGAATCACAGGTGCAACAGCTCCCTTTTCTGTGAGAGAGGCCGAGCTTGGAATGCGAGAAGCAGAGGTCACCTGGGCACGAAGTTTTATAAGTTCAAAGGGAGAACTTATTAGTGCTTCTGCAACACCAGCAACAAGTCCTGCCAGGAGGGCCTCAGAGACGTAGACATAGTTATCTTCTCGACCATCTGCAAAAGAGGTATTTGCAACCACATAATGTATCAGAAGCTGTAAATCAATTATAACAAAGATAAATTTTAGTACCATATATTGATACAACACTCTATCCATGTAACTTCACATGTTTATTATCGGGTACAGAAAAATTAAGGGAAATACCTTTATAAAAGGCTGTCAAAATTTCATAGGTCCCAAAGCGAGCTCCAACCCCCAAAGTTCTTCCCACTGCCAGCCATAGGAAGCCATTGTACAAACCTACAATATGCATCACAAACCAAACTTAGTACTTATCAGTAAGCCCTTGAGGGTGTTTTGGGGGGAGCAACAGGATGTGGAAACGCTAATGAAACCATCCTAGTAACTCTCATGTACTCCCATGTTTCTTATATCTTGTCAAGTAAAGGTCGAATTGAAAAAATAAAAAATTCGGGGAAGCACCTGTATTTCCTGAAAAGTATCGAACTCTCTTTAAAACCTGAGCAGTTGTCAGTTGTTTATGAGACCCTGAACCAACCTGTTCTCACAATGAAAATAAATGAGGAGCCAGGGTAGAAGCAGATTATGACATTGCTCTTCATTTTTTTTATAGGAAAAAATATTCATTAAGAAGAGTAGTACATAACAGAGATTTTGAAAAACAAATAACTTCTCAAGCATCAGAAATCTAGGCAAAGATGTCGGTAACAAACCTGAATAAGGGTTTTGGTAGTATCAAGAGGGTAAGTAAGAGCTGTGCCTAATGCCACCGACCCTACACCAGAAAGTGCATGGATTGCAAAGATCCGGTTCTTTAACCACTCATCCATCTAAAATTCAACAAAAATAAAAGAAAAAGTAAATATTTCTCATCAGCAATTGAGATAGAGCTTTATATGCCAGTCAAATTTTAAGTAACAAAGATTTATTCGTAATCTATTTCCACACATGTTACTCAACAACTGTCAGATACAATACAAATGCCTGTACAGTTAGTAGTTCATGATGAAAACTAAATCTGAACAGGCACTAATTTGTTTCTTTCTATTTTTAATAGTGACCCAGCAAGCATATACCAAGACCAGTAGAAGATATATAAGAATTGGTCCCTCTGCGGCCTTTCCTCAAACACGTTATTTACAATATACTTCATATATGAAAACCCGAAGAACATTAAAAGAAAAAACAACAAAAACAAAATTAATCAAAATGAAGAAATGCTTAAAATGAGTGTTTTAGAAATTAGCAGTCAAAGAATGCGGTACCATCGTTGTTAAAGTCACTTTGCTTTTTTCTTTCCCTTCTTCAAAATCGTAGTGTGAATTCCAGCTCTCAAAACTCTAACAGGAAGGAGTAGTAGCTAAATATCAGCAACACGGCAACATTCTTGAACGAAAATCAACTGCAAAACGGAAAAAGTTTCATTTTTTTATCAAAATTTAAATTCTCAGACTAAAAAACTTCTATAAAAATTCTTGAGCTGCTGAGCAATAAGCAGCGCCATCACGGGCAACGGAGGAGATGGGGAGAGGAGGGAATGGGAGATTGCTTTTTGGGCCTGGGACTTTTTAATCGAAGCCCAATTCATATTTGTTTTGATAACACCCAACCCCCAATTGCAAATTTCACAAATCTGCCACTTCAATATTTTTTTATTTATTAAAAAAAGTGGCATTTCTTAATGATTTAATGATATTCTTATCATATCTCCCTTTTTTGTGTGTGGAGAAATTATCATATCTCCCTTTAAATATATATTTTTGGGTTAAATACCTTTTTGGTCATTGGGTTTTATATGAAAATTCAATTTGGTCACTAAGAAATTTTTTTAATAAAATTGGTCATTGTGTTTTCTAAAGTTTACAATTTATAGACACTAGTAGCAGGTGCCAATTGGTTTTATTTTATTTTTGTTAAGGCTCAAAAAAGTCACAGGAAGCCCAAAATAACATATAATGTCGGTCATGCATTAATTCAAGCTGTATTTTGGGATTTAATTCATTAAATAAATATAGAAATAGCGTACATGCCATACCAAACTAATAATACATTTTTCCCATGCCGATCACCTATCAAGCTCACATGAACCCAAGTCATGTGGTTTACGGGGCTTGCATGAGGGATTGTGGTGCGGAAGGTTACAGAGGTCCACAAGGCCTACGGAAGCTCTTGGATAATGGAGACTTTGGGCTAGCTACTTGGGAGCACCAAAGTCCAAGCCCATTACTTAGAGTTCTCCAATATGGGTGAGCAAATAAGATATTTTCAAGCACTTCCTTTTACCCATAGGAAATAGTCATTTTCTAAATACCTAGCTTTACTCACTGGAAACAAGCAGTTTACAGTGCTTCCTTTTACCCATAGGAAATAATCAGTTTATGGTACCTAGCTTTACATGCTAGAAAATAGTATCCCCCAGTGCTCCCTTTTAACCACTGAAAATATGATGGTTCCAGCACCTTCCTTTATCTATTGGAAATAAAGGAAAACCCTTACCCTCTATAAATTGGCATTCATGGCTCAAGCAAAAGGCACCAATTTTTCTTCAGCCAACACTCCCTCACTCGGCTACTGCAAGCATCCCAGCAGTCATCAACCCCCTTTAGCAACCACCAAACTACTTTCCTTCCTCCATTCAGTTGTTGCAAGCATTCCAGCGACTATCCTAGCCATTCCTCAGCCATCACAATCATGTCTTCTACTTTCTCACACTTGAAATCCATCATCTTCTCCATAAAGCCTCACCAAGCATAACTCCAAGCTTTTCCTTCCTTCCAAGCTATAAACACCATAGCTTTCAAGCTTCAAGCTTTTCATTTTATCCTCCCACCTCTAGAACTCATAAATTTCTCTAGAATCATTGTCACAAACACCATACCTTTCAAAGTCTTAAGCTTTTATTTCCTCAACCATGCTCTTTGAAACCTCATTCATTTGACTGCTATAAGCATCCCAACAACCATCACAGCCAAACAGTCAAACCGCCATAGCCATAGCCTCAAACAATAAATTCTCAACACCCAAACTCAAGTATATCAAACACCAACCCAAGCACAAGCATTCTCATTTGCTAAACTTGTGGATCTTTAGCTCCCACACTCCAAGCTCTCATGCCAAGCTCATATAATCTCATATCAACATCAACAAGTCATCTTCAACTTAGCCAGAGCAAGCAACATCCTTACTCATTGCTGGAAGCTTCAATCTCAAGCTGTGTTCTTCCATATTCTTCCTCTCCCTCCCATAAACATATCCAGAGAGAGCAAGCATCACCACTCACCTCTGGAACCCTTCGATTTCAAGCTATGTTATTCCATTTCTTCCATTTTTTATCTTTTGGCAAGCCACCCAAAAACCTGACAAAGCTTTCGTCAATCTACTGGAAATCTACTCAAGCCACCCCTCTCTTATCTCTCTCTCTCAAAAAAGCTCAATCCCGTATCTGAAACACCTAACCTCTCATGCCTAGTCTAGTAGTGTCTCAATTCACAAAGCAAACTCTCATGCCAAGTCTGTGTAACATTAATGCGCCATCTTCAACTCTTCGTCAAGCTGCCGAAAACATCAATACAAAATATGCAGCCGCTGGAAGAAGAACAGAGTACTCCCTTAGGACTTGCTTCTCCCTCGGGATGCTTTGAGCCTAGTTCTCGCTAACTCAGACAAAGGGGCAACAAAGGCTTCATTCAACACTCTGTGGCGATCCAAGAATCAACAAGCCCGAACGAGCCTTCGAACAAAAAAGACCCCAACAATTTTTAGAATTAAGAAAATATAACATCGGTTTTTATGTTCCATAAAAATAGGACTTATTATTTGATTTTGTTTTTAATTTTTAATTTTTAAATATGAAAAATGTAAATTTACCATATTATCCTCATTTAATTAATAATTTCAATTCTTAATATTTGAATTAACCAATGACATTTTCTGGTATTTTGAATGTTTCACTATTCTCTACCTTTTGCTTTATATATATTGATTCTATTATCTTCCGTTAACTTTGTTTAAAGTGCAATTTTTAATTTTATGTTTTTACAAGTTAAGGTACATTGTGTTGTTAGGGTTTAACAAATTGGGGGAATTTTTGGGTTGAAATCGGAACTGTGAGGTATAAGGTCATAGATTGGATGCTCTATTAAGCTTGAATCAATTGAGTGAATAGTGTATTGTGACTTCATATGGCAAGGAGACGTAATCAAGGTGATAGAGCACCAACAATATATTGGAAAGTTGTTGATTTCATTTGAATTTGATTTGCCTTTTTTATTTTCCTTATACCTCACAATTTCAATTTCAATTTCAACCATTTCTCTCAATATGTTAACCTAATAGCACAATATACCCTAACTTGTTGAGTTAGAGGAAGAAGTCTGAAGTTGCTTCCTAAAAAAATAAAAATAAAAACTGCACTTAACTGAAGATAACGGGGAATGTCTATAAATTGTAAACTTTGAAAAACACAATGACTAATTTGGCTAAAAAAAATTTCTCAGTGACAAAATTGAATTTCCAAGTAAAACCAAGTGACCAAAAAAAATTTAACCCTACATATTTTTTTAAAAGCCCATGGATTGAGAGAACAATGTTTTTTTCGCAACTTTTGATATTAACAAGTGAGGAGAGAATTGCCAATTGTGAAATATCCTGCTTATCGTTTCAGCGACAGTCTCATTCGAAGAAAATATCCAGGTAAATATAATAAAAAATAAATTTGTGAATCCTTTTCTCATGGATGGACCTGCATATTTAAAACTAAATGATCATATGGCATCTCAAATTGGTTATGTACATTACAAAAGTATTCTTTGTTGGAAGGAGATTTTTGGTAACATGTGATGAGCCCGCTCTGTACTCTCGGACCATGCCTGATAAATCAAGATAACATAAGGGCTGGTGCTGATTCTGCTGCTGAATGTTCTGTCATTCAAATCCATGCTTCAATTAAAATCAGCTTCCGTTGCAAAGAAAGTTGCTAGATATGCCCCTCTGGGCTCCATTCTCGCCATGATTGGCTTGGCAGATTGCTCTTGTCAAATTGGTAGCACATTCTTCCTGGAACAGCATGTTGACAGAAAGTTTTGTCTGTCAAGGTTTTTCACAGCCTGCTCTGCTCACATTACTTTATGATACGGCAAATGAGAGAGAGAGACCTGAGTTGTTCTTCGTATGCCTTTGGAATGCGAAGCATTGCAGATTTCGTGTAGCATTCAGGGCTTCCCACTAGATGAAACTGAGACTAATCAGACAAGAGAGCTTACAAGTTTCCCTTATTGTATGCAAATGCTACATGTATTATAAGATGCATTAAACCTACTGTACAATTCAAGTTACACCATGTAGCATGTTGTGCATAAACCAAAGCAAAAAATATGACCTGAAACTAGAGTACTAGAAATTCTTGCACTAGATATCTGACATAGAATAGAAGACACTCCAACTATCAACTGAGTTTGAGAGGATTTCGATGTGTGAATGACTGATCTTCTGTAACTATACATACTTTTCTCGGAACAAGTACCTTAAAGGAAGGTTAGGCATTCATTGTGGACAAAGAAAGAGGATAGCACTTACATTTCTCAACAACCACCACCACAACAAGAACAAGAAGGACTAGAACAGTGACGATGACAAGAACAACCCCACTTGCACCAAGAAAAGCAACGACACCAATAGGTGGGTTTTGATTTGGTTACTTTTTTAGTCGATACTTTGGCCGCTGCTGGTGGCTCCAGACACTTCTCTTCGGTATACTGTGTAACCTTCATAGAATTTTTCATCCCATCTGTCAATCTGCCATATCAAAATGTGCATAACAGTCACAAACCATAGATTGCATTTGCAAGAGACACAGAGACATGAAAAGATATCAAATATATAGATGATAATTTAGTAAAAGAAAATATTGTTATTAAATTTCTGTTTCTACTTAAAGACGGACAAATGGCCACTATGGTTAAAGAAACATGCATACATGGTTGTAAAATCACAATGGATTCTTTTTGCTACAGTTCCAAGGGTAGCAGAATGCCCAGCTACAATTCGAACAGTAGCAGGTTGGCCATGTACCATAGCAGAACGCCCAACTACAATTAGAACAGTAGCACAATGGCCATGCACGCTTCTTTGTTCTGCAATAAACAAAGCTATATTCTTCATGGACCGAGTTCAAGGTTTGGGATCTTAGCCAATAAAAGAAAAGTTTTAGGTTTGGGAACTTCCGTGCATATATACATACATGAGCATGCACACAGATGATGCTTCCTATGCACACAAACTACTGTAGACATGCGTATGTTTGAATTTTGTGTGTGCATGAGCATGTATAATACTAGAAATTATTCTATGAACACAAGCTCTGTATTATACATTCAAAACTGTATGCATGCCCATCCCTTAGTACACAGTGCATCCATATGAAAAGATAGGGACTATCCATGCATAGTTCACCTTAGAAAACTTATATAGACGTACATTGGGAAGGCAAAAGAGCGAGTGCTAGCTCCACTCCCATCGGAACGGCGGGAGAGGCTATGGGATGTGAAGGATACAGTTGGAGGTGGTACTCTTCCCTCACTATGATCTTCGGCATTTGTTCTTGCAGTGTCCTTGAAGGTCTCATCTGCCATTCCTTCAGCTCCAGATTCCCTCACCTCTTCAATCCCATTGCTTTCAATTTCTAGCTCAGGAATTGGAGGAGGGTGTGGACTAAGCCCAAACAACTCGCCTGATTTATATAGTTCCCCAGACTTAGTCAAATCACCCAGCAAAAATATATGGTCTCTGGAAAAGCTATTGTTGCCTAAATGAATGCTAAACAATGACTCATTGGAAGCAACACTCCATTCCATTTCTTTGTTGGATTTACTTCTTGCAAACACAGAAGACGGGATCCTGCAAGGATCATATCCTCCACTCCGTTCCATCATTTGGACTGTGGGGGATTCTGTCGGTGACATACCATGCCCAACATCCGAAACTCGGGATGTTGATGCAGGACCCAGAGAGCTGTGGTCATGATGTTTAGGGAGGGAAGCAATATGTGGTGAAGTGGAAATTCTATTTGTGTCCACTTGGAAGAGATCTTCCAATGACGAGTCTGATGCCACTGAAGACAAAGAGGACAAAGAGATTAGCTTTCTGGACGGGACACGCAGATCACCTTCATTAGCATCAGCCTCTGGATGTATTGTTGAAGGGCTATTTCTATCACTCGCATCAGGAGCCTTTGATGTTTCTGAGTGCTTACTGCCTCCACTTCCATCAACAACTATTTCTGAATGCTTACTGTTTCTGCTGCCAGGTTCCAAGTCCATAACTGAAACATGCCCAAAACAAATTTCATAACAGTTATAATTGATAGACTTTGCTTTCAAATCTTATAAAGTACAGAAACTAAATCCGCAGTAAGTTGATGGATTTCCAACTAGGTTGCTTGAATGGAAAATGCTATCACAATAACAGTTAGCTAAGATTTGCAAGTTAAGCAAAACACAGCCGTCTAGAAAGAGGAGCATTCGGTATTAGTTTGGCGGACACGCATGTCATTATCAATTCACACAATTCAAAACTTTGAGCCATTTAAATGAATGGGTATGAAAACCAACAAATTTAAAACCCTACCAGTTATATACAATTTCATGTGTTTATAATGTCAACAATTACCAAATTAACTGCGTGAGCCGTCATTTGCACAAGCATTTCAATATGCTAAGACAACAAGCAATGTCTTTTCCCTATAAATTCTTGAAATTTCATTTTCAGATATAAGCCATGAATTTGATAGCTAAATTCAAATTGATTCAAAAATCTAACAAATAGATAAAAAAGGAAAGAAGCTCACTTGAATCATTACAAAGAAGCCCTTCGGTCCCCAATTCCAAATGACCCCATCGGGACGATCAGCAGTCCTCTGCCTCCTCCTCACCTCTCTTTCTTTTTTGTGACAGGAAACCCTCCTCCCACACCTCAATTGAATCGAAAAATTGCCCGAGAAATAGAAATTGAAAACTTACAAATCTTCAAAACCCAAATATTAGAAAAAATGTAAGAAGGAGAAACCCTTTGATTGATAAACCCTAATTTTGTAAAAAAATAGAAAATAAATAAAAAAGATAGGACTGAAAGCTGTTGCCGTTGAATATCTGAATTTGTGTTGTAGAAACAATAATGAGGGAATGCCAAATGGGAAATTAGGGTTTGTGAATGGGAAAATCTGATGATGAAAGGCGTTGCGACATTTTCGGCGTTTCTTTGGGTTCCCTCTGTATCTGTAACTAACGATCACTGCCTTTCGCGCCATTTTAACTACTCTACCTTCTTTGGGCGCTACATAAGCCGTCGCATGCTGGGATTTAATTCAGGTGTTCGGATTCGTCCTATCGTGCGATGCCACGTCACGGGATAAGGATATAATAGCAATTTGCTAGTGTCCATTTGAGGAATAAGATCTTTGTGAGTTGTGAATAATGTGGCATTTTCCCTGAATTAGGATGCCAATTTTCAACATAATAAACAAGCAAAAAGGCAAACGTGTTTAGCCTAATAAAAAGAGTCTTAACTTGCGTCGCGTTCAAATCGACTCCCCATGATTTTAGTATTGTGTGTGTGAGAAATCTCTCTACTCTATGACTTAGACTATCGCGTATACTAAAAATAAAAGATAAAATAGAATAATCAAATAGATCATATTAAGATTAATTAATAGTTACAGTTGTAGGTTAGGTCATTTAGAGCATCTCTAATAGCCTTTTCAACCACTTTGTGACGCTCAAATAGATGAGACACATCATAAAAAAATCTCTCCAACAGCCTTATGAAACTCAATAATCAAAGCTGCAACCTCTTTCTCTCTATGCAAGACTGGTAAGTTGACTTTGACTCTCTAAAACATTTAATTTTACTTCAGAAAAATGAAACCTAATTTGAAAATGTTAAAAACATGCATTTTTTATTTTCATATTATAAATATATAGACATTTTTCATATGTTTTCATTCTTTTTCATGATATTGCATTAATTGAATTGAAGAGTCTGTTGGAGCAAAAATTATTCAAGTAGCAAATAAACATTTTCAAATTCCGGCCCTCTCTCCAAAACCCTAGCTGCCTCTCTCCCAAAAAAACCCTCATACATATGTTTTTCACTTTGAGGGTTGCGTCTCGATATCGGATCTCCACCTGCGTTTCAGTTTCGGATATCACCATCCTTTTTGAGGTTTCTTTATGTCCAAAATAAGTCACAAACTCTTTGGGTTCTCTGTGTAGTTTTCACCTCTCCTTTTGTGAAAGCTATTCACCTCTCCTTTGTGAGAGCCTTATCTCTTCTTAGTTAGAGCTTTTCATCTCTTCTTTGTGAGAGTTTTATTTGTATTGTTATGGTCTGGTTTTTTCAAACTTTATCTCTTTTTGATTATTCTGAGTTTGCAATCTTAGTTGGAATGTCTATGCCAGAGTTTCTTCGATCCTGCGTGATCATTAGTGGAGGCGCACCAGATTGTTTTATTTTGATGTTAGACCACTCCTTTATTGTAATGCCCATTTGTGGCTAGTGGCTTTTTTGGCTGAATTATGAATTCAATTCTAGAATTTCTCAACCCAAAAAAATAAAATAAATAAATTACCACATAAGTGAACAAACTTTAGGGGGGTGTATTCAATTAGGATTCTACAGTGTTCAAAAAGATTTTGTTTAAGTTCCAGCTTTCATAGAACTTGATGGAACTTTATAATTCGTATAGAACTTGATAGACTTTCAGAACACTTTTGTATAATTTTTTAATAAAACTTTCTTAAGCTTTCATAGAACTTGATAGACTTTTATTCCAGACTTATGTAGACAATATATTTCATTTTATCCTCATCCTTGTCATTTAAAGAAAGAAACTTGAATTTTTTTCAATCAAATTTGTTTTTGTTACCCAAAGCAAAAACAAAAAGTACGTTGTTTGCGATGGAAGAACATATGCACGGTTCAAAATGAAAAGAATAAGAAGCAAAGTACCTATTTTACCAATGGATGTTGTGTTAACTAGAGAAGCAATTGGATCGGCTGTCAAAGCCAGTGCTGCAGGCAATGCATCGACGCTATTTCAAATCCAAGTTTGTCCAAATAAAAAACAAACTTGCCCAAAGAAAAGAGAATCCAAGCATTGGTTGTCCAAATTGCAATAAAAAATATTTTGAATAATAGCTCTTGCAGACAAAGACCACATAAATTCTGAACTGGTCTAGCTTGAATAATAAGGTTAGATTAGCCGATGGATGAGAGTAAAAGCTTTGTTGCTTATCGAAAATATATGCCATTGCTTGTCTGCTAAATTCAATAGATTCAATGTTGTCAACGTATATAGTAACATTGTTGTATATAAAAAAGATGAAATAAAATTTTAAACAACATGAAATAAAAAACCAAATTCATAACATCTTTTCCTTCAACAACATGAAATAAAATTATGTTTAACAAAAAGTAAAATTCATAAGAAATATAGTGACAAATGTATTACAAATTTGAAAGAAAAGTTTAAGAAAAATATTTAACGTTCATTCATTATCCTTGATTCTCATTGTTGTCATTGTGCCTAGCATCTCTCCACATATCTAAAGCTATACCAACTCTCCATTCATTAGCATTCTATTGTTGTTGTTCTTGTGTTTGGAAAACTAGTTCATGATCCCTTTTATTAACCGGTAACGATGAAGATGAAGAAGATTTGTCATCCAATTCAACAGGAAATTCGTCAGATCTACACTCTTTTGGAAGAAAATTGTGTAGTCCTACACAAGCGAACACTATCTCTGTTTGTGTCGTATATGGGAATGGAGATGCATACTTGAAAATTGTAAATCGTGACTTAAATATACCAAATATCCTCTCAATGACATTCTTCAAGGACGAATGACGAAGATTGAACAACTCAACTTCATTTGCAGGTGCACGACCTTGACCATCAAGGAGGTATTGATCAAAGAAAAACTAGGGAGCATACCTTCACAGATGGAGGAAGGAAGTTATTCGTCTTCTGTTGCAAAGAGAAAAGTTAGGGCAAGAGAAAAACGTCCGATGAAAATATTAGGGGGGGATGTTGGATTTATTATGGTCTTTGTTATTTATAACTCTCCCCTTAAAACCTACGAAAATTTATCACTTAATGAAATCCTTCCAAATATATGACATTTCGAATACACCTAGATTTGATTCAACTTTTTTATAATCCTAATTGAATACACCCATATTTGAATGGACTTTTTAAAAGTTCATACAAATCCGAATTGAATACACTTAGACTTGTAAAATCTCTTTTAAAGTTTGTATAAATCCAAATTGAATACACCCATATTTGAATGGACTTTTTAAAAGTTCATACAAATTCGAATTGAATACACCCAAACTTGTAAAATCTCTTTTAAAGTTTGTATAAATCCAAATTGAATACACCCGAATTTTAAAAAAAAATTTAAACACTTTATAATCCTAATTGAATACACCCCCTTAATTTAAAGAGTTTAATTTACCACTACTATTGAAGATGCTCGTAGTATTTAGTATGGCATCCAGACTTAGACCGAGTTCAAATTTCTTAAAACATTAAAGTAGTTTAAAATTTCCTATTTATAAAAAGATTGACTAATGTTCAACATGAATTCAAAAGCAAATGATTTAACAATTCAAAAAAAGAAAAAAGCACATGATTTAAATACCTTAAATATAAGACCACATTTAAATAAAAAAAAAAAAATTTAAACATTGTTGGAGATTCATTAAATTTATTTTATAAGAAACGGGGCGGGTAGGTGGCACCGGGTTCTTGTGTTCACTAAGGCAGGGGCACATCTTCTGCTTCTCTCTCAAGTTTTCACCTTGAGCCATCGGGCCATCGAGCATTTTCAATCTCAGGTCGGTCAATCTCGAGCTCTTTTCACAAGGTAATTATTGGTTTTCTTTGATTTTTCTATCTGGGTTTTTCTTCGATTCTTTGTCATTAGCTGATTTCGTTCAATGGGGTTCTCTCGTTGCTTCCTAGCTATCATTTAAACTGATGGGTTTTCTTTTTCTCTTTTCATTCTTTGTTTTTGTGGAAATTTACGTGACCATGATGGATTGGATTTAGGGGGTCCTGTTCGAGACTATTAATACATGCGATTTAAGGAAAATTATTCTTAAATTTCTGTGTGTTCCGAACCCACAAAAAGAAATAAGGTCAATAGAGTCTGTCTTCACATCAGTTTAGGAAATCGAACTTGTTCATATTACTGTTACTGTTACTTTTAATTTATGTTGATTCGTCCTCTGTTGCACTCTCCTGTTTTTGACTTCAAAATGTGGATCGACCCAATAATGGCGCTCAATTAGTTGTGGTATAGCATAGTTTTATGTTGAGACTCAATCATGAAGTACATCATAAAGTTCCATTCTTTTCTTCGTTGAAGCGAGTAGAATTCATGAATTGATATTAAATACTTTCTCCAAAGTGGGGTGTTCCAGAATAGTGATTCACGCACAAACTCTTCACTTTTCTTTTATATCTTATTGATGAGTTTTTACTTTTTGAAACAATTTACCGAAAAAGAATTTCTAATGTTGAATTAAAATTTTCAGATTCTACTTTATACATGCGCCAAGAACATGAATGAGGGTTGATACAGTGGTTGTGGTTTCATGCATATACATTCATCAATAACTAGCTTGCTCAGACATGGCTGTCGTTGCTTGGTGTTGCATTTTAGCACCATTTAATATGCACCAGCATAGACGCTGTCTTCTTCCAGGTTCTGGATTAGCACCCAAAGCGGGGTGAATAAAATCCAATGGAAGGATCACGAACCCCTTTACTTCCGTCTGATCTTCCAGAATCGACCTCCTCTAATAATACTGGGAGTGCGAATTTTCATGCACATGGAATTCGTGGGTGGTCCGGTATTCAGGGACTGAAGAAGAGAGGTCATGGAAGTCGTTCATGGATACAGATTGATCCACTTGGGAACACAAGCGTTGTGGAGCTTGACAAGGCTACTATAATGAGACATTGTTCTTTGCCTGCCAGAGATCTCCGACTTTTGGATCCTTTGTTCATTTACCCTTCTACAATATTAGGAAGGGAGAAAGCTATTGTTGTTAGTCTTGAACAGATCAGGTGTATAATCACAGCTGATGAGGTTATCCTGATGAATTCTCTGGATGGATGTGTTGTTCAGTACAAGTCTGAATTGTGCAAACGCCTACAGTCAAACAAAGATCAATCTGGTAAGGAAACTAGTTGTGTGTAATACCTAATGCTTTTTACTCATACTTTCCACATGTATGCCAGTGATAACCTTTTTATGCCATTCCTAGAAGTATCTAATCTGACAGTAAAAAAGGTTTCCACTAAAACTAAGTGACAACTTGTTTTTTTACCAAAAGTTAAGATTTTCTTTTCATAATAATTTTAATCATTTAAGTAACACTAAATGTCTAATACATTTCTGACAACGAGTCTAATTTGATTCAGATGACTTGCCTTTCGAGTTTAGAGCATTGGAGCTGGCTTTGGAACTAACCTGCTCGTCTCTAGATGCCCAGGTATCCATCTATCTACAGCACAGCACCGTAACTATTTTTGGTACCTGCTGAATTTATGTTTTAGATAATCCTACAAAGTTCTTGCTCACTGCATTCTGGAGATATAATTGTCGCCAATTGGTAATGTCCTTAGTCATGTATGTGTCATCTTTCAGAACTCTATCTATATTGTATTGTGAATTGTTGGATCATACGAAGAAAAATTGAACAATACCAGCACAATGAAGCAGCGATCATCATCAGCGTAAATCAATTACATTAATGAACTTCATCAATATGATAGGTAAAAGAACTGGCAATGGAGATATACCCTGTGCTGGATGAACTAGCATCATCTATAAACACTCTTAATCTAGAGCGCGTGCGTAGACTCAAAGGGCACCTCCTTGCTGTGACGCAACGAGTTCAGAAGGTAAAACATGATAGAGTATACTTAGTTTCATAAGGTTGATTATTCTGTTGTAGTCGTATGTAAATTTATATTTGCCCTCATTTATTTCTGCTTTTCAATTTTGTGAACTTATAATATTTAGAAAGAAAGGGCCAGCTGGCATGGGGAAGGAGGGGGTGAATGGGAGTTTCTTATTCTTTCATTTGTTATATTACTACATGAATAAGGGTAAATTGGGTTTATAAAGTTGGTAAAAATATGGGAGGCTTTGTGATAAAAAAACTTGGGTGACAATAGAGCATCGGTTTCTTAATATCTATTGCTTTTCATCCCCTCAATATAATTTCTTTTAATTTATTCAAGGTTCGTGATGAAATAGAACATCTCATGGATGATGATGGTGACATGGCCGAGATGTACCTAACTGAGAAGAAACAAAGGTCAGAGGGTTATCCCCTAAGTGACCTTGGTTTTCAAACTGACACCTCAAGTGTGGAAAGAGTGGGCTCAAAATCTGCTCCTGTTTCTCCAGTGTGGTCAATCAGTGGAGCACATAAATTGCAAAGGGCTTTTAGCAGTATTGTGAGTTCAAGCAGACCCAGCTTAATGAGTTCATCTAATAGTGGAGAAAACATTGAACAACTGGAAATGCTGCTTGAAGCATATTTTGTTGTCATTGACCATACTCTCAGCGAGGTGTTATCGGTATGAGATGTTTTGTTACGTATTCATAGCTTTTCGGTTTATCGAAATTGTAGTATTTGAAAAATGAATTTACTACTGTTTGTTTATAAATCAGTAAGGTTATCATCTGTATAATGAAAGAATAAGAATAAAACTAACCAATAGGAAAGAATCAGAACGCTTTGAGTTTTAGACTTCCTAATCAAATACCCTGGTCCGTTTGAGCTAATAAAAAGAGACTAAGAGAGAGAGTTGCTTAGTACTAATATAATAAAGACTGATTTTATCAATATTGAGATATGGTTCTTGGCTAAGTGACCTTGAAGAGTTGTCACTCTACTATGCAGACACTTCTTGAAAAATTTATATCTTGTATTGGTGATGGAGCTGAAAGAATATATTGATGATACTGAAGATTTGATTAAAATTAAACTGTTGACTGGTGAGTGATTGACAAAAACTTATTTCTTGTATTGGTGATGCAGCTAAAAGAATACATTGATGATACTGAAGATTTGATTAACTTTAAACTGGTAAGGATTGATTAACAGCTTCCATTTTCTAAATCTTAGATTGCCTTTTGACTATATTTCTTTGAACTACTATAAAATGTATTCTAATATTACACTCTGTTAATGGGCAGGGCAATGTTCAGAACCATCTGATACAATTTGAGTTGCTTCTTACAGCAGCTACTTTCGTGGCCACAATTTTTGCTGCTGTTACAGCAGTTTTTGGAATGAATTTTCCCGATTCTATTTTTGATAATCCATCGACATTCAGCTGGGTTCTCATTATTTGTGGTGTTGCCTGTGGGTTCTTGTACTTCTCTTTTCTGCTTTATTTTAGGTACAAAAGGATCTTTCCATTGTAAAGTATAGAGAGTAAACTAATTCAATGAGAATGAAGACACAATCTTACAGTGAAAATTGGGTTTTCTTTATCAGAATAGAAAAATCCAGGTGATTTTAGAACATGTAATGAACACAGCTATTATGTTAAAATAGCGTCAATCAGGAAATGATATGTAGAACTCTGAAACTATATTTAAAGATGGCTCCTGAGCAACCTACTTAGGTAAGCATTCTCGTCTGCACTGCACCTTAATGAAAAATTGTAATTTTAACTTCTATACATCAATTAGCGATCTATTTCTCATTTTTGTAATCAGTCAAAAATTTAGGTGAAATCTAAGACTAATATACATACATTCTTCTTGCAATTTTGTGTTCAACTTCCTCATCTGTTGAAGTCGCCCTGTTAATCTCTTCATAAGCTTCGTTGTATCTATCTGTTAAATTCATTGAAGTCCCTCTGAGATTTTACATGTTCAAAATCCATTGAATGCACCCTCTTTTGACTAGCTCCAAGTGCTGTCTCAAGCTCCATGATACGTGCTCCAAGCCTTGACTCGGTCACCTCATGGAGACGCAAACTCAGCGCCCTAGGGCACACAGCTTCTTCATGACCTGAGTCTGAAGAACTGCCAGCAGGTTCCCAATTGACCTTGTCAAGTCTCAGATCTTCCTCAACAACATCTGCTACAAAGTCAGGATCCAGCTGCAAAGAGAAACCCAATTGCCCAAATTTTATACTCCATAAAAGAAAATCATTTTCTGCCTGAGATTGTAAATTGGTAACCACAGAAACTGCTTGTTGCATACTGTTCTTAGGCCTTTCTGCAGTATGGTTAACCAATAATACGCAGCATAATTGAAATGATTCAGGTGCATAATTACCTCCACAATATCTGGTGTTCTGCTTAAGCTGTATGTGTTAACGTTTAGTTCCAAAAGCTCTAGTTCAGCAAGGAGCTCTGCCTCAATTTTGCTCATAGCTTCAGCATCATCATCTACCGTCTGGTCAGTTACCTGGAACTCAAAACCCAAATTACTGAGCTCCTTCAAGTTCAATGAATCTTTCATCTCTACCTCCTCCTTATGCAAATCTTGGACCAACTTCTGCGTCTGCTTCAGCGACTCATTTAACTTGTCAACTTCTCTTTTATGAGCAATAATAGTATACATTATTCCAATTGTGATTCCAATAAGGAAAAGAAGCATTCCATATTGTGAACCTGATAAAGTAAAAACTAAATTTTAAGCACAAGATAAATAGCATCTTAAACTTTGAGAAACATGTAAAAAGCGAAGTTCATTATAACAAAAGAATAGCGTACAACCTTGTGAGTGAAACGGTCTACCAGACACCCATGTAGTTGAGCTGCTACATCTCCTCTGCCTCTGCCTCCGCCGCCGCAGGCGGCTGACCTTCTCTTTCAAGCCACATTTCTTTTCAAGCTCTTTTTCCTCACTCTCCAACCACACCTCTTTGAAATCAACACTTGCAAAGCCAATTACTTGCCTCCCATTGTTAACCAATAATGGCCTCATTGTCAAAACACATGGTGATGCTGATGCTGATGCTGATGCTGACGATGCACATGAACCATCCACATCCTCTTCCACTCTAGCATGTTCCCTGTACAACAACACCTGAGCCAAAAAGCAATTTTCTGTGGAATCCAGAGCTTTATAAGAATACCCATTAGATTTAATTCCAAGATATCTGCTTTTCTTTAGTCTATCATGAAAATAATACACAGCCTTTCCTGTCACAACAAAATCAGAAACCAATTCACCAGAAGACTCAGTCAGCTCCTCCATCCTATGCCCAGTTTTTTTCATCTCTTTTGGAGCCAAATGCTCTTCACCACCACCACTAGCAGAAGCTGAATCTATTACTGAATCACCAAGAATCTGGGATTGCACATGAACATGAACCGATTCTGATAAACCTTCCTTGAAAAGCCATTTATGCCAACAATACTTTGCTACATAAGCAGCCTCAGTAGCTGCTGCTGCTGCTAGCACCCATAAATCCATTCCTTCTCTCTTTTCTCTCTCTCTCTCTCTCTCTCTCTCTCTCTCTCTCTCTCTCTCTCTCGAAAGTGACGACCCAATGGTTTAATTGTACTCCTTCTAAGCAAAGCTTCTTTCTTTCATGAATTCTAGCATTCAAAACTTAAAAACGAGGAGGAAATGATTGTTGGTTGGTTATAAACGAGGTGGAGATTTTATTGTGTAAGGAAAAGCAATAATAACGAATCCACAGGTTATAATACTGCTGTCTTTTTTGGTAGGAAATATATATATTTTTGGTATTAATGAGCATTGTCAAATCAGGATGCTGGTCCTGTACTCCTGTTTTATATTTTAAGTTTTTTCCATTATTTTCTTTTTAAATGCATAAAATTGGGGTTGGTGTACAATCTTTCTAATCCGTGACCTGTTTGAATACAACTTAAAGGGTTCTAAAAAAACAATTTAAAAGAAATGGTGGGCATATACAACGCAGGTATTAAATATAAAAGGAAATGTTGAAAAATACAAAAATACGGTGTTTAACCAGAAATTAGATGAACTTTTGAAAGAAATGCGGGAAAAAACAGAAGAAGAATATAATAGATGATAATAAAACCATGCAGGTGCATTGAACTTCAACTACCACAGGAACGTTCAAAGCACGTCCTAATTGAATTAGTCAGGAATATTTGTCGTACGTAAGACTTAACATAAACATTGTCACTAATAATCTTCTATATTACATACATAGAAAGATCACGTTTCATTGTTACAAATATTTACTTCTGTTTCTGTATATCCAGATCATGAGGCCAGTGTGGTGCTTGGGCAACTATCAACAGTGCAGGCCGAGATGTCCCTATAATCTCTGGAAATTTTGAAAGAGTCGTAAACCTGCCCATCCCTGCTCTTCTTGTACTCGAACAAAAGGTTCGAGTGGTCAAATGCTGTGAGTTTAACAAATCCATGATCATAGTCTTTGAAAATGCTCCATTTTGTTTGGAGAGTGGTAAAAGTTGACAGGGTTGCTCCCGCACCACCAGCAACCACATGTATTGTTCCATTCAAGCTGCCCTTGTAATAATGCTTCTCTTCATTGGTGCAAATGTTCTGTCCCAGAGAGTCACAATAACACTTCCATCATTAGTTACTAATCTTCGAATTAGTTCCGTTAAAAAACCAAATGAGGGCTGTGAACTTGTGATTGATTACTTCACTTAAATCTGTCTAAGTCTCAATGTATGGGGCTAATGAATGAGGTTCAATTTCTTAATTGCACAATGCAAAAACGTACCTGGTATATGGGGCAGGTTCTTTCATAGTTATGAACGTGGCCGTAGAGGGCAATGTCAACCTTATACTTCTGCCAAAGTTTTTGGAGGCTCTCCCTCCCCATTGGTTCCTCAAATGATCCTTCTTCTGCATAAGAGATGCAAGAGGAATATCCCAGAACCCGATGTGCAAGAAAGATTAGCCACGGTTGCTTCTGCCTATCGACTGATGCCAAGCAGTGCTCAATGAATTTGTATTGCTCTGTTCCCTCTCTCCAATCATGTTCTGTGTCTGCTATGCAGAAGTGGAACATGCCATAGTCAGTTGAGTACCTGGATTAAGAAATATCATCACAAGACCATGGCGTCAAAATGAAGAGCTTATCAAATCCGAGGAATTGCTAGTACAATATTCCCCTACCAAAATTTAGCTCTGGTCTCCGTAGGAACATAGAACATATTTTCAGCCAACACACCGCATTCTCCTCCTGAATCCATGTTCTCATAGAAGGAACCTGTTCCTGGCCAGTCACGTTCATGGTTTCCACTGAAAGGAAAAACTCAAAATCACCAAAATAGACAAAGATGAACTCTTGTTGAAACCAAGTTGGGTAATTGAACGATGACAAACCTCGCAATCATGTAAGGAACAGTTGATGCTATTGGCTCAATCTGTGCAGTAAACTGATCCCATTGTGAAAGGTAACCATTTGCATAACATATATCCCCAATATGGAACACAATATCAATGTTTTTCAAGTCTTGAATAAGCTGCTTCGTAGTGTTAAGAGAACCTCTCTGGAAATTGTTATATTCATTGGAACCATCAGCTTCATCCTGCATGATGAAAGATTAGTTGGAACAAATCAGAAACTACATGAAAGTGATTGGCCTTCATACCATAAGAAGTTAACAGCATTTTGGGGTCTAAATTGCGTTGAACAAAACAGAAATTATCTAAACAAAACGTAAAAAATGATCCCAAGGGCACCAGGATTTTGTATACTACATGCACAAATGCTCCAAAAGAGTTCAAACCTTTCCCATGTCACCAAAAATGACTACACGTTGTAAGGAATTTTGGCCAGGATAAGGAGATGCTCTAAAATGATATGTCTGACTCCAAATATATGTACCATTAAACAATCTATGCCCCAGCTTGTACATATACCTGCACAAAAATGAGCTTCATATTAACCGGTGACTTGCCATAAAATTTAACAACTGATGGTGAAACTTTTAACATTGTACTATCCAGTAGTTCATGGTTGTAACTTAAACTCATGTACTTAGCAAGTTAGCAATTCACTCCTCGTTCAGGAGAATCATATACAATTTTTTAACATACTCTCTATTTGGCCACAATTCCTTCAGAAAACTAGTGTGTATGAATCCAGGGTCACGCCATCCCACTGTTCTTGCAGGTGCACCTGTGCAAAAGTTTTAAGAGGACTTAACCATGCAAATATATACCTTTGAGTCTTCATACACTCTTACATGCTATGAACATTGAGATATGTTTGGCAGAGAAGATGAAAGACAAGCAACTGGGTTTATTACCATAATGAAATACTGATTTATCTTCCCTTCTGAAATTAGCCATGTCAAGAGTTTTATCATTAACTATCAATAATGAAAAATGAATTTAGGTTATCATGTTGGTTTTTCTCTTCCCCTCAAATTGTATGAGTGAATACATAATGTACTAGCATTTTGGATATCCTGACAATTAAATTATGCCTTGCCTTCAGCC